ACATTCTGATTCATCTAGGTCTTATTGTCACAACAGAGCCCATTAGAAATCCTTCCATGAGTTATGCATAACTTATGTAGCTTCGACTAAGAAACTTGAGGATGTCAGGTTGCAGGTAGTGCTAAGACAGGATCATGCCATGCTCGTTAATCCATCCAAAAAAGAGACATGTTGCGTTTGGGATGAATGCAAGGGAATTACAGTACCCTGTGGGGCACTACGCATAATTATTTAACTAATTAAAACTCAGATGTCAGATCTGACCTGCCTTATTCAAACAACCATTCTCTTTCCTCCATTCCAGAGCATTCTTCATGATAATTCCCATAGCCTTAAAATGGAGCTCCAATAGTTTTGTCCCGCAATTCATCCGCCTGTCCATATATCAATTGTTCGCTCGCCCACGCCCTATCTTCTGGATTCATTCTCTCCAGCATCTCCCTAATCCTGGCTTCTGCCTCCTCCTCCATCCTCGCTTGCGACATTTTTTCCGTGTCTCGATGGGATAATGGTATACCTCTGAACGGTCTGGGGAACCCTGGTATATCTTCCATGACCCGCATTTCCAGATCCCCGCACTTTCCAGACTCAAATTCCCCTCCATTGTATACTGAATGAGGCCATATTGTCGGTCTTGATCTGCGTTTGCGATGAAACCAGGAAAATCGCCAGTGCGAAGTTTCTGGGCTCAAGGTCGAATCGTCATCCCTGACAGGATGTAAGAAGCGTTCTGGAACAGGAATTTTCAAGCAGAGGATGAGGAGGAAAGCGACAAATACGCTCACTGAAGCGACTATAACCGGCACGACAACTGCCGAATTGATATCATTCGAGCCAAAAGGTTTCGTAGGTAGTGAGGTATCCGTTGGAGAGGCTGGTACATCGGCGGGAGTAGCGATGGATAGAATATCCGCCATTGTCGAGACATATTGGGAAGCCAAGAGCGAGGCTAAAAATACTAAACGTCGCATCGTGAGATGATGAATCCTTTTGCCTGATTCGAAGGCGCGAGGAACGACATTTGTGCTCTGCGTAAAGTAGCACAGCAAACGAGGCAAACGGAGCAAAAGACTCGAGTGTGAGCGAACACGGATATTTATGGGAACTGGTTGCAGCGCTCCTCGGGAAAGATGGCTAAATGCGAGGGTATTACTTAGTAGGGTCTCATTTGTCTGGAGAAGGAGAGGTCCACACGGAAGACTAGCTGGAAGAGAATTATGATTATTATTTTATCCTGGCTTGGTTCCTTCGCTGCAACCCCCGCAAATACTTCCTTCACCGTACCGTGAAATGCTAATTTTGTGCCACCGTGGTTAGGGATTCCAATCGATGGCGGTAGAGATCTAGCCTATTTGACAAAATATACATTGCTATGCCTCTTTGGTGCAGCAAGTGAACGAGTGGCTTGTGAGATACTGGGTTATTATTTTTGTTGAGTACCATCATACTATTACATCCTAGCTATCGAATGGTTACATTGCATTTTTGATACTCGATAATTAAAGCATCTCTGTACTTAAGATGTTTCTTCTACCTGGACCCCAGTGCTACATCATTATGCTTCTCGTTGCAGGTGTCTCATTTATTGCAGGTACAGCTATATAAGTTTCATCACGATTATACACATAGTATAGCGCTTACTCGAAATCTAGTGAAGATCATATCATCATCAGCTTATGTATCTAGTCAAGTTTTGAGTAGACTAGACTCAATCAATACCTTCATAAGAAGTACTGGGTCCTATTTATCCAGAAATCAAGCACATGGTCTCGCGATATAAATACACATGCGATTTCTCTCATGATTCTATCAGTTCCAACTCTCAAACAACCCCGTAGATTGGATTAGCAAAATAATATACACAAGGTACAGTCCAAGTCCATACTACAATACTTAATTGGTGAAAAGCAATCAAAATCCCTCTCCTCTCCCACACAAATCCAAACGTTTCTGCAGCACCCCGCTCATCTCAGCAGATGAATCATCACTCGAGACAACAATCGGTTAATCGCTCGTTTGCCCACCCACCATACTAACCTCCACACTTCTCCTCGTAATTTCCCCGCAATCCTTCGACCTGATATCTTCCCGTCCCAAAGACTGTGTGACTCCCTCCCAATTTTCCAAAGCCAACTAACAAAACCACATTCATCTCACGTCGCGAGACATGTCCCCAACGGACCAATATCACGCGAGCAAACAAATAGAGATTTCTTCCCACCAGGAACTTCGCCCTCACATGCTCAACACTGCGACGCCTTTGCGTGTGGATCCTAGCTCGGCTATGCGAGATGATTGGTTATATAACTCCGCGATGAGCAGCTGACAAGCCCTCAAGCCGGAGATGTAATTGGTGGTCGGGGTGCTGAGGATCTTTGGTATACCATCTGCACGAACATAGTTCGGGCGTGTGCCAATTTTGCATGTACGTGGTGGTTCGAGTTCTCGTTCAGTATTGTGGTGAGTCGGGCTTGGATATAAAAGTTGCTGTTTCGTTCTAGCTCTTTCGTAGACGGAAGAAAAACTCCGTTCTCCGATTATGTTTGTGATATCAAATTGTAATGTGTAGGAAGAAGGAAGATGGGTACCTTGATTCGTATTCGGAACAGTGATTGAATGATCGAGATTATTCGAGGTCTTCTCGTGATCACGCACATGTACCTACTGCCATCACCAAACCCAGTTGACTACCAAATAGGCGATCTTGAAATTCCAATCTCGACATTTTGAGGTGATACTTAGGCACTAAATGAAATATTCCCAAACTCACAGCCTTGGAATTAATACCTACGGCGTGCAGTATCATCCTAGCTTGCATGCGCGCAGATATTAGTTTGACGTTGTGTCACCCCTATTGAACGTATGGGTAACTGTCACCTCATAAATTGTGATATGCAAATACTGTTGCGGTTGCCGAATACTACTGTATACATGTCGGTATGAAATATTGAAATATCGGTAATGATATACTGTCGAAGAAATAACCTCGCCGATGCTTTAGACTAAGGGTGTTGAATCAGTATCGTGAGTGGGTAGTGTTATTTGATTCTCGTTTCATGTGTTAGGGTCGATCAATGAATACTTCCTATCTAACTCTGTAGCGTCACTTGCTATGTGCATCACAGTGATCTCGTATCGTTTTATTGACATGGCACAGAGATGCAAGTGTCCAAAACATACAAGTTCGCCCCCTCCCCTTTACCTTGGGGTTGTAACTGTAAATTTCAATATGTGAACAATGTGGGAATTGGAATCTAATCCGGACTACATAGGATGAGAGTCTTGCGACTTTCACATAGACTTTGTCGGGGAAGGATATGAATCATATCGCGAAATGCTAATGATACCAAATTAACACCGCAGTGTGCTTTTATGATTAAGGATGTAACGTAAAGAGCTACAGTATTCTGATAACAGTATAGTATAATTCCAGCCCGGCATTTCTCTCCCAAACATTTCCCCAAGCCCCGTCACGCCATGATAGAATACACAGTAGCCACCCAGTTCATGCCTCAATATTTGGAGAACGGACCCTTGAATAACCAGTTACCTACCTGCTCTAATATTTCTTCTGTTCTGAGTTTTCGCATAGCCTCTGCATCAGGTCCCTTGTTATCCATCAAATCATGAGTGAAAGCATGGCGAACATCCCTTACTAGCGTCCATTTACAACCATCCTTTTCAAAACCATACATTCCATCTTCGCGTTCTTTCTCAGTCAAATCGGCAAGGTCAAAAGCTGTATCTCTAGCTTCCTTGGCTAGCATATCGTACTCGGCCCCTATTATATATATCCATTTGGGTATATCGTTCCTGCTCACAAATCTAGTGCTCAATAATGGATCTCGAAGATTCTGACCAACGGGAATATGACCCCATTCGAATACGGGTCCAAAATCTGGTAGGTCATCCAAGTCCTTTGCATTCCGATATGGGCGCGAGACTTTCTTCTCGTCCGGTGTGAGCGTGAAGTCCATTACTGGATACCAAGCTACTACCCCGTTCAATCTTTCTCGCAATTCAGGTACTTGAGCAGCGGACAAAGCCAAATTTCCTCCTGCACTGAAACCTCCCAAGACCACACGCTTCTTGTCAATATTCAGATCGGCATTATCGATTGTGGCTTGCGCAATAGCAACAATATCGTTTGTCAATGCCGGGAATCTATTGGAGGGGGCCTGGCTGTATTCAATGCTAACAACGATGACATTGAATCGGTTCGCAATCGTAGCACAGATCTCATCATCGAATTCGGCAGACATCAAAGCATGCCCTCCACCGTGGAGATCCAGGTATAGTGGGAGTGGTTCATCGTCAGCTTGCTTGGCCGTTGGAACAAAGATTCGCGTTCGCAGATTTGGTCGGCATGGATATGCCAAAAGCTTGGTAGGACGAGATTCAGGAGGTGTTGGTCGTAGAACGCGCAGGATTTTGAAGGTTACTACAATAGCTATCTTCAATCCCCAAAGCTGAATGAAATACCAGGCGCGAGTGAGGAGTGGAAGTTGTGGCTGGACCAGATCTTGATTCTTCTCAACGCATTCACGTCCATACTTGTTAGAAACCATCTTGCGATCTGTGATCTCGTGAATGTAAATTAAAATAAAGGGGCGCGCATCTTTAATAAATACTGCTCAATAAGAAGATCCTATACCTAGCTTGAGACAGTCATCCTATTGGAGGATAGCACTGCAAGTACAAGGTTGCATCAGGAGTAATATCGCGCATTTGCGAACCTCTTCGATACGAACCAACTTACAATGTTGTTTTGTTTAACAGTCTCAATGACATATTGCATCGAGAGGTTTTCGAAGGATGTGTTGTATGAAATCACAATTCAAAAGCACTTGGAGCGAACCATGCTTTAACCTTAACTAACGTGCCCCACCAAAAACCGGATGAGTCACGTGATCAATGTGGAGGGAAGACGGCAACCATTTTTACGATCAAAACTTAGCTACTGTTATTGGCATGAAAAAAGCTAAAAGTTGAAGAGCAAAATGACAGAGAACATCAAGAGTCTGGTTGATTGGGCCACAGCTTCTGGGGCTTATCTTCATCCTGACGTTGAAATTTATAAAGATGCAGTAACAGGTTTATCGTTCAAGGCGCAACAAACGATAGCTCCTCAAACGAGTATTGTGCGATGCGCATACCAAATTTCTCTATCATATCTAAATGCAATTGGCACATATTCTCAATTTCCCTCGACAGATCCATTTCCCGTTGAGTTCTTGGAGAATTTGAAACAAGATGATCCCAACATTATTGGTCACTTTTTCCTCATACAGCAATATTTGAAGGGTGATCAATCTCCATGGTGGCAGTATATCAAACTACTTCCTCAGCCAAATGATCCCAAAAGCCTTGGGATTCCTATCTGGTGGCCAGAAGAAGATCAGGAATTCCTCACCGGGACAAATGCAGAACCTCCACTTCAGAAGCGAGAACAGATGTGGAGAGATCAGTGGAAGAAGGGAGTTGTGCTTTTGAGGGAATTGCCAAACCATAAAGAATACAGTTATATCTTGTATCAATGGGCTGCTACTATATTTGATAGTCGAAGTTTTCGACCATCCTTGACAGTTTGTCCTGAAGCTTTGAGTGAGAGCTCTACAGATATAGATCTCAATCTAGATCACATTCGCAATGATAGGTTTTCGATCCTATATCCACTTGTTGATATAGGCAATCATAATGGTATCAATCAAGTAGAGTGGAGAAAAGACCCTATCTCCAATTCCTTCGATCTAGTTCATTCTGCTGGTGTCTCACAGGGAGATCAGATTTACAATTACTATGGAAATAAATCAAATAGCGAATTACTAGTTGGCTACGGTTTTATTCTTCCAAACGATCTTGTGAATCGAAATGTTGCCAATCTTAAATTGACTCCAGATCATAATGCTATTCAATTACGCAGAAGTCAAAATTGTCACAGTCGTCCAGATCCAAGACAGCCGGAGGAAGAATTCATGTTTGCTGTGCAACCAACATCTACTAATGGATCACGAGATTCTAGAATCTTGGAATTTCGCAGATTCGGAGAAGGTCTAGTGGATCTCATTTGCTGTATTGTAGCAAATGAACGAGAGCGTTCATATATGTTGAAGTTTCCGGAAATATGCCCAGAAAGAATTGCACAGCCATTCCAAAGCCCTCTATGTAGAGCAGTGTTGCAGGCAATATTCATTATTCAATCTAAGCTTGCATACGAAATTGAGAAGATTGAACAAATCGGTGCAAGTCTAGGGTAAACACAATCCTCGCTCCTATCCTTGACCAAGCTAACACTATCTCAGTCCCCCTCAAAATCCCAATCAATCTCTCGCTCTGAATTACCGGAGCCTCCAACTCGCTACCTTACGGTCTGCCCTCCAACCCCTAGATCTTCTAACCACACCAATTCTTACCCCATCGCTCGAAATCTCAGCACCTTCTCCAACAAGCAATTTGCAAATCCTCTCAATCGAACAGGCCTACTCACTACTTACCCAACACTACCCATCCCTATCTACAAGCATCCACAACCTCATCGCCTCAGACCAAGAAGAAGACCTCCCTCTAGATTGGTCTGTCCTTCTCGAAGATTGGAACTTCACATACTGGACTCTGTGGGTCTATATCATCATGCTCAAACGATCTGATCAAAAGACTCTTGCGGCTATACACCCAGCATTAGAACAATGGGTCCAAGATGGATCTTCGTAAGTTTTTTCCTTCCTCTTCATTTCCATCTCTTACTCCTCCCCATCCTCCCCTCTCTTTCACCCCACCCTACTTTAATTCAAACTAAACTAACTCTCCTACCATAATAGAATCTTCTCCCCCTCGCCACCCCACAGAATCCCGTAACCACCTTCCACGGCGCCGTCGACGAACACGAAACCCTCACAACCACCCTCTCCCAATTACGAGAACTGCATCCTGAGATTTTCACCCTCCAAAATGTAAATCACGAGCACTTACTCAATCTCGCAAGTCACTTGGTTAAGGAACAGGCATTTATGGCACCGTATATCATGTTGGATGGGGCGGCAAAGGGAAAACGGATTATGCAATTGGTGGTGTGTATTTGGGGCGAGGAGTTGTGATAAACTGGAGCATTTGATGGGATTGGAAAAGTTCTGCGCTATTTATAATTTTTCCATGAATGGATATGTGTTTGGAATTTGAGGTGGACAATCGGAGATAGAATCATGTACATTGTGAGTTTCTTCAGACTCTAGTGTATCGAGTCGCCGAGACTCAAGCAATGACAAGGGAATTGAGGGGTTCAAAATGAACGAGGTTAATCCTAAGATCTTAAATCTGCTAAATTCCAAATCACACTAAAATCTACTCTTGACGTAACAATACTCCCAACACTACATTACAACAACCAACCCATACCACACAACACATCCCATCTCCCCCCCTCATTTTCCCCAAACCTCATCCATTCCCTCCCCCCCGCAAACTTCCCCCCACTCAATCCACACCCTCTCACCCGTCCACACGCCTCCTCTCCCTCCCCTCCCATCTATCCATATCCCTCCTCTTTCCTCTCCATATCCCCCCTTTCCTTTCCCTTCGCCTTCTCCTCCCACCACCCACATCTGTTCTCCCACCCCTTTCGTACACTCTTTCCAGAGTTGTCTACCCCATTTTCTCCACCATGTTGTGTTCCACATTTGTTTTTGTGAGATTTCCTCTTCTTCTTTTTTCTTGTCTCTGCCTTTATCTATTCTCTTGTCCCCCGTACTCGGATGAAAATCAGAATCCAAATCCAAATTCAAATCCAACCCAAAAGTAAAAGACCCCGGAATCCGAGAATTTGAATTTGAATTTAACCCCCGGGAATCACCATCTCCATTGCTATATGTAAGAAGTGGTATAGAATCCACGAAACGTTTTTCCCTCTTGCAGTTTTGAGATCTTTGACCGATTGACTGACATCTTTATCTTTATCTGCGTCTTTATCTATATCTGGAGCGCCGCATAAATCCAGCGGTCCGGGGACGTTTTCGAATTCTGCAGATGACATCGCGATATCTTTCACTGGCCTATTGATAACTCCTCTCCTGCTCACGATCTGCTTCTCCTTCTCCTCCGCTTTCTCACTAAACGATGTAACCTTCAATTCCTCCCCCGATTTTCCTACCGTGTGAAAAATTCCCGACGTATAATCTACTCCGATTCCAAACTCTCCATCACCCCTCTCACTATTCCCTCCTACCCCCAACGTCCGATTTCCATTTCCATTCCCATTTCTCCATCTTCTCCTTCCCTTCCCCTCTCCAGCAATCGATACCCCCAAGATCCCCTCCAACCACTCCCTCCATCTCCACTCCTCTGCCCTCCGTCTCTCAACCCTTCCCCCTTCCTGTTCTCCAAAAATCTGCGTCATAATCTCCTGCATCGAATACCCCTTTCTTTCTTTTCCTTTTCCTTTCCCATCCCCATCCCGCTCTTGCGCAATCTCCCACGCTCGACTCCAAAGTGCTTTGATATCCCGCACTTTTCCCATCGCTAATGAGCTTTCGATAAAGCGAGGGGACTCCCTATATTGATCTATCTTTCCTCCTTTATTATTCAAGAAGGGAAATTGGGGAATCACATCCCCATAACAAGATTCCCCCATCCCCTCTTCTGCATCTCCTCGCTCACCCCTATCCATCACAGCACAATCTTTCCTCGCGGAAAAAAGTACTTTCTGTGTATATTTCTGCTGTCCCGATTTCCTTATGGTTCCAGTATCCACCTCCGTACCCCTCTCAACACCATATTCTTCACGTAATTTCTCATTCACTTCCCTCCTATTCCGCAAAAATCTTCCAATGATAATTTCGCCCGGAAGTTGCAGCCACGTATTCGCATTTAAAAGTAGCACTAAATCATCATCGTGCATATATTTCCCATTGAGAAAATCAAGCGTGTCTTGTACTTCTTGTAGCGTGGAAGTTTCTTTTACTTTCTCTTTGGTTTCGTCCGATTCCAATTTGAAGCCCAGGAGTGTTGGGGGTGGGTAATTTAGAATAGATGCTGCAAGGAGAGTTTTGCAAAGATTCAGTGATTTCTTGCGGGCGGGGATTATAAGATGAAATTTTGGGTTTGTATCTGTATTGGTATTGGTATTGTTTTCATTGCTAGGGACAGAAATAGTATCGTCCCATTCAGAGCTTTCGTTGGTAGCGGATGGTATGAAAGCTCCTGCTAATGTTTCAGGAACGTAGGAGCCTAGTTGTGATGCTGAGTGTTGGATTTTATACTAAAGGAAGATATTAGCGGGCTGGGCTTTGGGGAGGATGTGCATAAATATTAGAAGTTGGAGAGAGTTTTCTGCCTGACTGATGGTTATAAATGAACCATACTTACTGCATGCCATTTACCAAGAACAATGAGAATCACAGAAGATATGAAAATTAGAGAGAAGAAGATACGACTACGGAGTCGACTGGGTCGTATTAATTCTCTTAGTTTATGAGCCATGAAACTCATGGGTGAGATTTTCCGCCTGGCAGTTTCGGGAACAGTCCCATTCTCTGTGGGAAACTCCTCATAATTCATCACTAACTACTGGCGACGAAAAAGCAAAATAGAGATTTCTCGTTTTCTCAAATTTCTCACCTCGATTGACTCATTGGTGTGTTCTCTACCTCAAATGAGCCGAAGTCTCAAAAATCAGTAGGACTGCGTATGATATCAAGTACAGTAGAATAACGAGCTGCAAGCAAAGTGTGTCAGAGAAAGAGTTTAACAATGGATTGAAATTGTGAACTGTGAAGATTGTAAACATCGTAAGTCGTTTGACTGGAATGATCTCAAGTAAGGGATGAGGCAAATGCTTCTTTGGGAAATGCAACCAACTACAACTAAAGGTATTATTGAAGGTCTCTTCCTTGCGACAAAAGTTCTTCTTAATTTGGTATATTAACATGATATATTGAATCTATAGCAAAAATGGTCATTGAGACCATTAACCTAATCTGGCTTCAGATCAATATAGGGTTGACTCAGCTTATTTGGAGATCTGGTATGAATATGAAAACATGGTAAATGAGAATGAAGAACAAGCCAATATTTGGGTATAACAATGAGGATTACCCTATTAAGAGCCTCTGAGTCGTTGCAGTTGATTGATAAACCCATATCCACTTTGCGTCCTATTCTCGCCGATACCAGAAATCGATGTTTCTTGGTCTTGAAAAGCCTCGACTCTTTGACTTAATTGACCATTCTGTTCAGCATCCTTTAATAGATCTCGATGTCTGTCTTCGACCATTTTTGCAAGACTTTCGACAAATTTACTCCTTGCTCGTTCTTCAGCTGTGCCTTTCCACACAAGTGCCAATTCTTTCAATTCTTGTACTCTTTTGGCTGCTGTCTCAATACCATCGACTGGATCATCCCCAATTAACAAATCTGCAATTTCATCACGTAGTTTCTTAGAAACTTCTTGGCCTTTCTCTTCGGTGCTGTGTGCCTCTGACCCTGGCTCGGGAGCGGAAACAGAAAGAAAGGACGAAGTGACCGATACTTCTGATGGTGGGAAGGTCCATGCCATTGCATCTCCAAATGTCTTTATAACCGTATCCAACCGTGACCGTACAAGTGTGAGCGTTCGTAATTGTGTCACATAAGGAGGATCGGCGATTTTGGTGGCATTTGTGTCTTCTGAGGTAGGTGTTTTTGGCATGGTAGCTGTGGCAGATCGCGCCCTAGAGTCTCCAGATTTTGTTGGTCTTCTTGACAAATCATTCTCAAGCCCCCCCGGAACAAACTTTGTAATATCATCATGGAGTCCTTCGATCAACGCTTCTGATAATCCCAATGTCTCTCCTCGTAGCACTTCCACCTCATAGGCCAATCGGCTTCCACTTCGCAATATCTCATCGGTGAGTTGTGTAAGAGTAGTCGTAAGTCTAGTGGTGTGTGCGCTAAGATGTGAAAGAAGAGTCTGCGTCTGTGTAGACAATTCAGCTAAAGGGACGACATTTCTTGAAGACGACGACGTATTCGAAGATTGTAAAGAAGGCAAGGTTGAATTGAGGTAATCTGCAGGATCAAAATCCGGGTTCAAGAACGGTCGCAGAACAGGGTCTGCAACGTGGGTAGATTTCGATAGTAAATTTGATTCTGACGTAGAGACGCCATTTCGAGATTGAGATTGAGATTGAGATTGAGGATGTTTGAGCCTAGGATTGTTATTTTGTGTAGAGGGAAGGGTTTTAGAATCCCAAGCCATTTTCACAATGCATCTATGATCGACCGAATTGTTGTCACGACAAAGTAAAGATTGTTTCCCGTGTTTTGTACAATGCCTTGAGAATAGCTAATAATATTTTGAGACCATCGAGTTGAATGGTGTCAAGCACTTGGAACATTATTGTGGAACCAGCCTTTGAGATATCGGATGACTAATAAGAATAATTGGGGGACCAAAGGCGTGCATGAAGTGAAGCCTCATCTCGGTCAACGTCTGATGGAGTAAATTGATGGTGGGGCATTGGGGGAGGGGAGAGGCAGCGTAGCCTCCTAAAGATGGTAGGTGCGTTTGCATTTCTACAGGGATGATAGCTCTAGGTAGGAGGTAGGTAGGTAGGTACCCAGCATGTCATCCTTGTTTCCTCTTCTAGAGCCAACCCGTCGATGGATGTTCCTTCCTGTCTCAGACTTCACTTTATTCTGATTACTTCACTTCACTTCACTTCACTTCACTTCACTTCAACCACTTCTTTTCTCTTCTCTGACTTCACTCCACTTGTGCCTCCACCAGTCGTAATCGAGTGCTTCCCCATCTATCTATCCACCTCGAGCTACATAACACTTGGATTTCCATTCAATTGTTTCTATAGAGGAGCATCTGGGCAGTTCTCCAAGACGGTATCTGGGCTTTGAACCCGGTACATCACAAGCTTGTTCTTAGGGATGTCAAAAACTCTGCTTCGTTTGACAGGTCAGACATGATGCATGTTAATGAGTGATGGACAGAGTAGAGTAGGTACTGACGATTGTGTACTTGTGACATTTGTTACTCGTTAATAATAAATGCCAACGTGTTCGAATTCACCTCCAACATTCACCGGACTGATTGGGAAAGATTGAATCTCTGTGAACATCCAATACCAGCACCTCCCTACTGATGACTACTAGTACCAAACTTACTCCGCATCGTACCAGGCAACCGGACCATTTGGAAATCATCGACCAATGACAATCGACTTCTCGAATTCGAACCACCATATACACCAAAATCAAGGCAACTAATCAAAAAGCCCAATACAAGGCTGCTGGTCGATGACCTTTATACGGCTCTTCCCCTTGTTACCTCCAGCTTCGGAACTTCTTCTATTCTTCAACCATCTTTCGGAAAGAGCTATTATCTGTGGACTACAGTACAGAAACTTGGATATCATATCCTTCACTTTTCAACAATCAGATCAAGGCTTTGACTTACAAACCCTCAACTCCATCAACTTGATATCAATCATCTCAAAGGTACGTCTTCGAGCCGCTATCAAGTTAAGAAGACCTTGCTACTTTTCAAGATCCCTCTCACCACAATACATCAAGAACAATCTCAACAGCATCTAGTAAATTCCTCCACGAGGCATATTTACAATATCAAAGTTTGATCGAGGACTTCATTTCTACAGCAAGCTTCCGTCATCTTTTGAAGTTACAGCGTCAAAGGTATATCCAATAATTCCGCTGCACGATGACTCGCAAACACTTCCTAGCGGATGTTAAAGAAGCATCTGAGAAAGGCATCCCTCATGTCATCTCAATCAGTCGGGGAGATGACGATGGTGATGTAAACTTTTGCTTCTTGCATGATTCTACAGAACCCATAGAAATTGGTCTCTTAGCACTAGGTATGTTTTACTATATTCTATATCTCTAGCAAACAATCGAATTCTCTTCTGCGTGGACTTGATCACTGATTACGCATGTGGAAACGAAATGGTGTCGTCAAACAGGGAAAGAAGCAAATTGTTCTTCATCATACTGACTCTGATAGATGTCTCCGAGTACCCAAGTGGGAATAATTTCATGATTTTCACCAAGTCCGAAGGGGCTCCAAAGGCTGTCAACGAAGCACTGGAACGACTCATGACCTCCTCAACTGGCGTACGTTTACCAGAATTGATTAGCAGTATTTCAAAAAAGCTACAGACATTACTTTCAGCAGGTTCACGAAGATCTCCTATCAGTCTCGACGAAGAGGATGAAGATGATGAGATGGAAGATGCGGAAGAGGACGAAAGCGAAGATGACTCTGGCTTTTCTGACGAAGAGGAAGAAGACTTTCCAGACGAGCCAACAACCTTTTCTAATGGTAATGATGTATCAGTATCGACTAGTAGACTCACACTAGAGGCTGCTGCACAACTGAACCGACGCATTCGAGCAGACATGCGCACTGTCCGATTGCTGGGTCATCGGATCGGAATTCTAAATGGCATGAAGGCTGAATCTCACAGTGGTATCCTCAGCATCTCCATTCAGGCAACTAAGCTGGGTTTATCGGAAGAGGCTATGCAGGCTTGGGATATTGAGCCTCACCAGTATTTGACCCTACTTATACGCTACTCGGATGGGTACAAAACATACGAGGCACTGATTGCCGAACCAGCCAAAAATAGTGGGATCGATTTCCGTGTTGGAGTCTGTAATGGTTATAAGCCATCGATAGCTGCAGCATTCTCGGCGTTTTCGGACTCAAACAAGGTCGGCGACAAAGCTTCTAACAACGACGGCTCTAATTCACAGGAACAGAGCGGAGGATTTTTCAATATATTCATCAGTAGCTCTCTGAACGAGTTCATCAATACAAAAATGATATCAATCCTCAAGATCCGCATCGCAACTGGTCTTGGATGGGAGGATGCAAAGAAGTTTTTGGATGAACGCCAAGGACGACCACTTGAAGAACATGCAGATCTGTATTCTGAAAATGACTACTCGGACAAGGATACGATCAAAAGTCATACATCGCAGATTTTAGCCAATGATCATCTCACCGATAATGAGAGTGCCAGCTTGTCATTTCCGCTTCTTGCTGCACAATTTGCGCTGATGTATCTAGTCCGCTGCACAGAATTTTGTCTCGTCTGCCATGATAAGATTACAGGAGGATTTGAGGCGTTGAAACCTTACGTTTGCGAAAAGCCATTATGTTTATATCAATATATGTCCTTGGGTTTTGGACCTAGTGTCGAACATGTAGGTGACCGTGGATCGTGTATACCCAGTCCAATTACTCGAATGCTAATCGTGTACAGGAGATTCAAACTCAGCCTTATGTTGTAGACCTTCTCCTGAACTTTTGTTATACCAGTGCTTTTGTAGGTCTAACTGTATATAATCTCCATAGCTCACAACTGATTTTTTGATAGGGCGCTCGAATTCGTGAGTATCCCACAGGCATGAGTCTTTCTGTTCCCTCCGCCATCGTCGCCCTAGCGAGGTACCTCGCACCTCAAGACTTCTCCCCGGCCCCAGCTGTTGTAGAGCAGCCAAGCAATGATCGTCGAGACAGAGAGTTCAAGGTTAAGTATAACAGCGAAGCTTGTGAGTTTACGTTCGAGGAAATGTCTGAGATCTTAAACCCTCCTGTTCGCAAAGGAGATTGGGTCCGCATTTTGTTTGGGCCCGGACCAGATACGGTAGTTCAAGCGGTTCATTCTAGAGTAGAGGATGTAACTTCGATGCCGATTGTAAAACTTTCGCAACCAATCCCGCAGAAGGTTCAATCAACCACATACCAAACTCCAGTGACCGATCATACACCAACAGTCAACCCCACCAACATAATTGCGGCTCGGATGTCTATTTACAATCGCAATTTCGACGAGATGTCTATCTCAGAAAAGTGTAGTACTATAACAATGCTTCTTGACACTTTACCAACCATCCAAGAGTTGAGAGAATATATCGACCGACAGAGCCGAACCGAAGAACCGAACCTTCGTAAATGGACAGAGCGTATATCCCCAGCTGCTCTAGGTTTACTACGATGGGTTATAGCCTCTAATCGCTCATGCCTTGTTCAAGTCGATAAATGCCCTGGTCAAATTGATAGTGTTTTGGCTGATGCAAAAATCAGACCAGATCAAAAGGTCTCTCAAATTGGGGAAAATTGGATGCAGTTTCGTTTCGCACAAGGATCGCCAGACAAGGAAGAGCGTTTCTTAAATGCTCTTAAAGAACAGCAGACCTCTTTGGATCCAAAGTATCCTACCATATTTGCTTTTCATGGTAGTGGACTGCAAAACTGGCATAGTATAATTCGACATGGATTAGATTTCAAAGAAACTCTTAACGGGCGAGCATTCGGACATGGCGTTTACCATGCACAAGATCAAAATGTATCTTGTCAATATAGTAATGGTCGAAACATTGCAGTAAGTATAAGAATCATCGCAATTGGTCTGGTCTAACTTTCAACTAGGGTTCCTGGCCTGGATCTCAACTCAAAATTACGTCTGTGATGAGCATTAACGAGATTATCAATTGTCCAAATCAATTTGTTAGCTCGAATCCATATCTAGTAGTACAGCACATCGATTGGATTCAATGCAGATATTTGCTTGTTCAAATTGAAGGACAGGTGATTGCAACTCCAGCTTCGACTAGGTATGTTTCCCACCCAAGCGACTTGTTAATGGGGCATGAGACAACCCGCGATGATTGATGCTGACATTTATTTCCTTTGTAGGGAGATTCAGTCCGAAATCGAGCAAGATCCCAAATATACGGCAAGATCCACAAACAATAAACCTATCGGTGTTCCATACTGCGCTGCCTCAGTCTCTAGAGCATTTCGTAATGATGGCGCCGGTAGTTCTTCCCCATGTAAGAAACTGAAAGGAATGTCTTCTTTGAATGGGACTGGATATGTGAGCGAAGCGGAGGACATTGAGGATATAAACTTTCTAATTTCTGATGATGAAGATGAAGTGGGAATATTGTAAGCAAATTAATTCTCCCTTATACTTTGTTGTTTGACCACACCAGTTCAAAACAGCCTCAGAATTGCCCTTGAAAGAGCCATCAGCAATTAAATCATGCTATCTTACTGATCACGAAATTTTTAAATGAGCTCTCACTAATCATTTGTACTAGATCATCTGGTTCTAAGAATCTAGAGGCTTCAAAAACTGATTTTGTTCCTGGATCACTTGATCAAAGTAAACTTCCAATGCTGGGACCTCCAGCTTATGCTACCCCGTCTGCAACTATGCGTCTCAACAGGGAGTTAAAAGCAATTCTTAACGTACAAAACTCTACACCCCTTCACGAATTAGGATGGTATATCGATGAAAATCTTGTTGATAACATATACCAATGGATCATCGAGCTACACTCCTTTGAGTCCACTTTACCACTGGCCAAGGATCTCAAAGAATCGGGACAAAACAGCGTTGTTATTGAAATTCGCTTTGGGAAAGAATATCCTCACAGCCCACCATTTGTACGAGTTGTCAAGCCACGATTCCTACCTTTCATGTCTGGCGGTGGCGGTCACGTAACAGCCGGTGGAGCATTATGTATGGAGCTTTTGACAAATTCTGGCTGGAGTGCCGTCTCCTCGATTGAGTCCGTTCTCTTACAAGTTCGTCTTGCACTTATGAGTATGGATCCAAAGCCTGCACGTTTGGAAAGCAAAAATCCACAGAATCAAGGTGAATATGGAACTCAAGAAGCTATGGCAGCTTTTATCAGAGCGTGTAACATGCATGGATGGGAGATTCCGAAGGACTTTCAGGACTTTGCTGCCCCTGATCATGGCCAGTTTTGAATTTAGGAAGCTCAATTCAAAATCACAATAGCATGGCATTAGAAAAGTGGAAGAAGGGAGATATGAGTGGTAGGGAGAGGAGGGAATTTGCGTGCGGATTAAGGGTTTGCTTTTACTTCTTTGCGGGCCTGGTTTTGATTTCCGGTTGGGCGGGCTGGCATGATGAAAACTCAAGATGGGATATAACGATAAGATGACTGGACCTGGCGGATAGATACCCAAACAACCATAAAGGAATATTACAGGGAGAAATAGGCGTCAAATTGTGTAATGGGACGGTATCGCAATGGATGGATCTTTGGGGCTGGGCGGGAATCAGACTATTACCTTTGTGTAAGATTTCTTTTACGGAAATCTATGTGATGGTTAGCTAGTTGTTAGATGAGAATATGGGTAGATACATGAAATTTTCTCTTTACAAGATTTGTTATGTTTTGTGGGTGAGTGGGTTAGTGAGTTCCTGGGTAAGTGTCTTTTTCTGCAAGATGCTGTTTGATGTGGTTAATAGGCGTGATTGACAAGTGTAATTGATGGATGTAATTGGTTTGAAAAACTTATGCTGTAACTTCTAGGCCCTTTCTTGCTATATGTAGAAGGGAGGAATATAATTTAAGTAGGTATCTAGGTAGATGGTGTGGTGTATACTAACTTTAACTTGAAAAATTGGACGAGGTTGGATGAAATGAGGTTAGATTAGATGAGATTAGTGGTATTAGATCTTTGTATTTTTCTTTTTGAAGATGGGAGAGAGGGTGAGTGAGAAGTTTAGATATAGCAATGTGTACTTGTATCTTGTATGATACATTGGGAGATGTTTGGATTGAGTTTGGGGGTGGTGAGGGGACATAGGATGGGATAGGATGGGATATGGATATATGAATTTGGATATGGATATGGATATGGATATGGATATGGATATGGATAGAGAGATATATATACTAAGGATATACAAAACGCCCGAAATGAAATGAACCATCTGTATGCTAAAAACCTTTTTTTCCAACTCTAGAAATCAAAATATGCTGCCGTATTTTATACTTCACGATCGCTTCATTCCTCATTCCTCATTCCTCACTCCTCACTCCTCACTCCTCACTCCTCGCTCCCTAATCTCTAATCCAACGCCTCAAACACCAATCAACTCTCATACTTCATAACATCTCATCTCATCGCATCTACTCTCATCTCTCCACATTTACACATTGATGTTGTGACCCCAAATACCCTGTTCCTCGCGAGCACTATAAGTACTAACCGCCAAGATCTCCTGCATCTGTTCCGTGCCGACCAGCATCTTCTTACCAGCAACAAACCATCTCATGCCCTCCGTACAAGGAGGAGAAGTGAGACTTCCCTCATAGGTCCAGAAATCCTTCGCGTTGTTGATCTCTGTAAGTGCCTGTTTGAGATCGAGATCGAGCGGGATGCGAGTCGTTGCGTCTGAGAAGGAGGGGATGGATGATAGTGGGAATGAGTCGAAGAAGGTGGAGTTGGCGACGGTGCCAAAGGGGATGGGATCAATCATGAATGCTACGACGGCACGTTCGGCGCCGGAGGCAGTGGCGTGCACGAAATGGAGTTCGGCTTTGGAACGAGCGGAATCAATGGTGTGATCTGCTGGTGCGTGAATGTGCCAGCCTTTGAGGAAGACGGTTTCGTTGTCGAAGGTCATGGATGGGTTGCCGCTTAGATCAGTGACGTTGGAGGTGAGGGAGAAGGCGGGACCATAACCCCAGTTGTAGAGGGAGCCTGAGGTGGAGGTTGAGTAGTTGAAAGTTGGGGCATGGGTTTTTGAGTACCCGGTGCTGGTGGTGAGGTGGATAGGGGATTGTTGAGTGCCGGTTTGGCAAGTGGTGTAGTCTGATGAGATGTTAGAATAGGAGCATGAGATGGAGGACGGAGACTCAAAACTTACTCTCGTTGATCATTCCCCAGTTGTAAGCAGCGTCATATGCCCAATCAGCAGGTCCATCAGCTCTCTTCATGAGTGATTGGCTGGAAAGATCATGATCGGGACAAGCCATAACGGCTGACAAGAGAGTTGCGGCGAGAATGAATTTTGACATTGTGAAAGAATGAAGTGGAAGATTGAATGGATGAATGAATGAATGAATGTAGTAACTGAGTATGAAAGATTGGATGATTTGATACTGTGTTACGAGAACAACTCTAGTATTTATATATAAGAAGGACTCCTTCCATTGTCGACTTGAGATTACTTCTCTTGGCCATTTTTCACTGCCATCATGATATTCTTGGAACGTACGATGAGAAGATCGTTGCACAAAACGAACACGCTTACCAAAGGTCAATCAACAGCGATCTCAATACCAGCTTTCAAAATTGTGATGGATGTGGCATGCAAAAATGAGGATATACTTTTCTTGGCCTGCAATACCAAGAGCCAAGCCGACTAAGATTTCTGTCAAACAGACGAAATGTTAGCCTGTTTGTCATACAGTATTGTATTTGAATAGTCGATCGAACAACATCCGCAATTCAGGCGCAAGAGATTCGCAAGGCCGACCCTTATCTAGCCAAGATAAACAATGAAGGAAATTTGGAGGCGCTTGCAGAGCCACAATTATCTCGTGATCTTTAAACTCTATCTTGTTCTCCTTTATGCAATGTGAGATACCTCGAATACCGACAAGCTGTGGAAGGCTGTGCACACTTGCTGTATCACATTATGAGCATTCCAAACTTTAATCTCTACCGTAAGATTTTGAGTATGCCTTGAGCAGAGCAGGCCGCGAGGTGTTCGTAGAAGCTCGAGGAAAAGGTAGAATTATGGAGTTTGTAACCATCCACCCAAAGCTCTTTTCCCTTCTCCTTGAACCCGGGTCCCGTCTTTTGGTTTATGCATATTTGATCGGGAACATCTAGATCATATCGCTTATATTGCTAATATTGCAACTTAGATGATTGAAAATAGCACCCGGCTTAATGACTGATGCCAATCGGATCACTGGAATTCGTAAACTTTGGCAACCTTCATTTCTGCAATATAATATTTCGTGCAGTGTGGCCTCATGTAGAGTTGTGATCGCGGGGTATATAGGTTCGTGTTATGTGTAGAGTATTCCACGCCCGTGTCACTGTTTTGGCTGGCCCAGAGAAGTGCTAGTTCATCTTATTGTTCTGATGCAAGTGGACAGGACCAAAGTCGCTAAAGTCTTGGAAGGGTAATAGAATTATTGAAACATTGAGAAGCCGAAAATTCGGAACCGAATCTAAATATGGAAAAGATTGAAGATACTAGAGCTTCGCAAGATAATCCGCTCCTTCTTCTTCTTCTTCTTCTAGAGCGTAGCGAAAAAGCCTCCACGGCAGTGGCCCAGCGGAGCGTCATTAATTGAACCTTGGTAGTTTACCATAGGATGAAGAAGAGTTTGAATGTGAGATGGGTACACCTGGGCAACTCTCTTCATATTCTATCCAGGACATCTCATTACTTGGAAGATTTCAAGAGCTTTCATGTGGAAATCATATGTTTAGTTTCGATCATTTATGCATAATATTGGAAAAGTTTAAGATGTTGAAGAGATCTGAAAAGGGACGATTCCACTCAAGATGAAGCGAGGAAAAAGGGTTAAAGATTACATTTCGCTATATAAAAATAGAAAAGAGGTCAGAAGTAATGATTGGATGGTTAATTCCGTCTGAAGTATCCAGGGATACCTAAGTAAATCAAGAGAGATTTGAAGAGTGAAGAGTGAAGAGTGAATTTGCTATAAATAAGACAATACTCCCTCTCAATATGGAATTTGGAGATTGGAGTTTGAAGTTTGAAGTTTGAAGTGGCTACGAAGAGAATCAGCGATAAGCCAGAGATAAGAGAGCTTTCACCGACGCTAAGCCATATGGGCATTAGCGTCGGCAGTAGATGCTATAAACACCCGACCATTTTCAAGCAGGGATTCATTATCGTCATGCGCATAGTAACGAGCGAGGTGAGAGGCTCAGAGGCTCAGAGGCTCAGGTACCTATGGATAGGAAGGATACTAGTAATCGGATTGGATTAGAGCCAAAGAACCATTTTCAATACTATCTGCCGATTCCATTGCTCAGTCTTTCCCTCTCCCTCTCCCTCTCCCTCTCCGACACCCTCTCTCTTCTCTTGCTCTATAGGAATGAAATGATTCAATTGTTTTACCCAAACTCTTCCTTGATATATCATTTATCTAGAAACCAACGCTGCAACAATTTACTCGGATATTGTGGTCAATAGTCTTTCATGTTGGAACTTGTGCCAATATCTTGAAAATCCTCAAAACCCTTCTGCTTATTTTTATCCTGTTCTACTCTTTCCCCATTGTCCCTAACAATTACCCACAAACAAATATAATTAACGGAAAACTCCCGAATCAGAAACCCTCACACCTCAGTCCTCATTCACTCCACCTTATTCACCTTCAATAAACATACAGGCGTCGCAAAATATTCTGGTAGTTATGGCTATGAGTCCTTCTCCTCAAATGTCTCCGACAACATTCGGAAAACAAGTTGAGAAACAAAGGTCAAACTCTCCACCTCCGCATCAACTATCCAAAAGAGACAAACGTCGATCCGCAATGCAAGATAAACTGCACGAAATGACTGTTAGCTTTGCTTCAAATAGAGATCATCATTACCGCGACCAACTCAAAGGATTGCAAATCGACATGAACCTCATTCAGGAAGCTGACGTTCATGGCAAATACGCTCTCCCGGATGGCAATGAGGTTGAGCCGTTAGTTGTAGATGGCATCAAGAAAGTTAAAGGAATTGCTGGTCATCATCCATCTGCGGCTGGAAAAGAGTATGAATCTTTCGCAAGAGAAATCAACAACGCCATGGAAGAGAGGGACGTCGCATTAACTACGCATATGGTATGTGCAATTGTTTCCCTTGAGTCTTGACTTTCGTTACGATGAGCTTAAAGCTAATGTTCTATTTACAGAGAGACTACGAAGTTAAAGCGAATGAAATCGAATCCAGTTATGCCTATCGAATGCGACTCGCCGACTTGGAATACAAAGCTTTGATGTCAACTTTGAGAGATCGTTTGATCAATAAGCTCAATAGCAAGAAAGCACACTTGCTGAAAGATAAAGAGTCAATTGAAATTGGAGAGAGCAATGCTTTACTTTTACACCCAAGCAAATTTGGTCTCGCTAACCCCGCTAGCCCTGGTGGGATGCATTCCAAAAGAGCTACAAGGCATCGTCGAGAAGCTGAAGAATTACCCAACATGTTTGATCACTCTAAACGGAAGAGAAAGGGAATTGATGGCGACGAATCCCCAGCCCCCTCACGACAACGTATGGACAATGGCGGTAATACCCCGTTAGGGACATATGAGCGAAACGGCAATACATCTGCACAACTCGAAGCACCCGCAAATAGCATAGAAGGTCTATTCACGGATAAAGAGCTCGGAATGAAATACAATGAGGCAGCTCAAGCAGCATATAGTTATATGGTTCGACACCCACCATACGAAGATGATAGTCCTCAAAATGGCAGGTCTGATTCCAGCCCCGACACTGATAAAATAAATGCAACATCTGGAGATGTTGAGAATGACGAATCAGATTCTCCTCAATCTGCACCTCAAATGGAACGTCAACCATCACACCAGACTAGGAGCACACGCGGTGGGGGAGTAAATTTCAATACCGGCACAGGAATTGATATTCTTAGTGATTTAGCATATCCTGGAAATATGGCAGCAATCACGAAACAAATCCCTAAATTACCACCACTTCTCGCCTCGAATATGCAGAAAGGATATGTGAAAGGAGATGCTGCCAACCAACCACAAGGATTGGCTCCTGATGAGATCAATGCCGAATTAGAAATTATCAGAAGGGGTCGCACATATAATGATGAAAGAGGGTTTGGTAAAAATCTTGATTTGGAAAATGGTGGAAAAAGTCTTCTTGAAGCAGTCAGCACACCAAGAAGACCTCAAACCTATTATGTTAAAAGCGACAATAAAGGTACAATGCTTAGCAACTTGAGGGAAGAATTGGGTGCGGAAGCAATGTCAAAACAAAGTTCTAGAGGAGGCAGTGAAGTTGGAGGAACACCAATGTCAAGACAAAATACTAACGATGGAACATCATCAAAAGCTGGTGGTCGAGGGAAGAAAAATCTTCTGATTTAAGGGGAAAAGTTCATTACATTACTTTGTTTGATTAGGTGTACATTGTTGGTCAATTGGTTATCAGAGAGCGTTGGCGTTGGGGGATTAGGAATATCATGAGGAACATGAGATTCCGATTATCCATTCATGAGGTGGGAAGAGGTATGGGTATATTATATCATGGTCAGTTGTTAGTTAATGACGACGGGGAGTTTGTATCTAAGTGTTTTTGACGGTTTTATAACTACTCTTGCTTGAGAAAGATATACTTTTGAGATTAAAGTAGTGAAGACAATCAGTTCTAACTTTGATTTTTGATTGTCTATTTCCTTTCACTCTTATCTTTGTTGAAAGAGTAATTCGTATCTACCTACTAGGTATGCATATTTGTGTATGTCTTGAACTGTAAGTTTGATTTGGATGTTCATTTCGATCTAAACTTTAACCTTTACTACCTGGGTAGGTGTTGACTTGATTTAGAGTTCTAGATTTACAATATGATTGCTATATTGAACAAGTCATTGCGGTGTCTAGGTAGGTATCTAGTTGGTCTTGTTTTGAATTGTCTGTTTAGGTAGGTAGGTAGTAAATAGGAGGTGAGTAGTACGTAGGTAGGTAGGTATGTAGGTAGATTAATATATTTTATATTATGGAATAACTTACAGAATATATAAATTACAATAATAGAGTATAAGCATACGTAACATGACCAATGACAAAGAGATAGAGAAATAGAGATCGATCTTCTAGATGCGATCTAGCTAGACAATATACACTTACCTATCTCGCCTAAGTGATGTATAATATATATAATAGTTGGAATCGTTAGGAGAGATCCTAAAGATACTATCCATACCTACCTATCTGTTTATTCATATAATCTAAGTAGATACATATACACTATATAGATAGATTACCCAGAGAGACTTTCTAAGTTTCTACAAATGAAAAATAACGCGTCTACAGAGGTACTCACTCACTCACTCACTCACTCATACACCAAACTCCCTAGAAATAAATATCATTAATCTTTTGAGATATTTCGAGGTAGAAATATGTTGATTCGTTAATTAGTGAGTGAGTATACAGATTGACAGGACCCTTCCCAACTTTCGAAATATTTGATTAAAGTAATTCTGTAATTGTTTAATATGAAAACTCGCATTTCGAGTGATTGTTTCATATCGAATGAATGAATGAATGAATGAATAATTGTAACAATTTTCGAGATATATAATTAAGAGATATTCACAAGTCCATTTTGTGGTATCCCGTCAATCCATGTACGTACTCACTAATGGTCCCCAAGTGCAATCTTCCTTGCACTCCAACCGGGAGGTACCCCACAATTCCTCATCACCTATCGTACCTTTTGCAATAGAAAATATAAACTTCCTTTCTTGTCCGCTTTCATACAAATTCAAAGTACACAAATCCGGCATGGTGTAGTGGCTAGCATTTCCGCCTCTCATTGATAGCTCTTCAGCTGCAAATAGGTCGCGGGAGACCGGGGTTCAATTCCCCGTACCGGAATTATCTTTTTATGTTTTTGTTTTTGAAAGAGGAGATTTGGGGAGAGGGAAGAAGAAAGGAAGAAGTAGTGATTTTGGGGGAAAAATCAAAAGGCAATTTTTGGGGTTTAACCTTATATATGTTGCCGAGATTCTTCCGATCTTTCTTCATTCGTTTGTTTGTTGTGGATGCATCTGAGATACATCTGAGTGTCGAGAGAAGAGAGATAGGTATATGTAGGTATGAAATACATTCATTATAGATATAAATCATTTACTTAGTTAGTTACTTAGCTAGCGACGCTATAGATAGATTCAATAATACATTCATTTATGCTCTTACTTCCTTACCCCTTACCCCCATTCCCAGTGATCTCATTAGTTATATATACATAATAAATACATATAGGCCAGGTGAGGTAGATTGCTAGTGAGGACTACTCCAACTACTATTTCCATTCCCATTTCTATTCAACAATACCAACATATCATATGCTCATTCTAAAGTTTCCCCATCTGCCTCAACAAATATCACAACGCATACACATCGCAAACACCCTTAACTATTAAACAACATAAAAACCAAAAATAAAAAACTCAATATCATATTTATATTCTCTACCCGTACCTATACGTACTGTATCTTAATTTTCGCGCGTGTATTTTCCATGTGTATTCCTATCCATCGCTACCAAACCCACGACTCCCATTTTATTTCTTCGAGCAATCATACCTCCCTCCCATCATCATTTTCATCATGCCATCCATCGTACCACCCCATTTTTTATTTTCCATTCCTCCCTCTACGAACATCATCTCCCTCCTAACAGCAATCCTTTCTATCCACAAGCCCCTACTACTCCGTAGCTTTATACTTCTTATTAAACTCCCCAACCGCTACTCCAATATTCTTATACAAAAAGTTCCTCGAACTTTCCTCTGCAACCGGCACAAATGGTCCGTTTGTTCCTCCTCTCAATGTCAAACTCAGACCTGTCCTCTCTTTACTAATCGTTTGAATATCCTTCAATGGTACGTCCCACTCACTAGTCAATTTCTTACTCTTAACCAACATAATCCTCGAATAAGTCAACATAACCACTACATCTTCTCTTGGCAATTCCAGATGTGCAATATATTGTTCATTAAAGTATTTCCCGTTATCCAGTTGTTTGAGCCAGAATTGTCCTAGTGCTTCACGTTGAGAGTATGGGCGTACAATTCCATCTTGTCCGATGAAACGAGTGAGTCGTACACGGTCAAGTCCGCTATCATCGAAGACCGTCGTAGTATTACGAATACCTTCACTAACATTTGAAGCGAGATCAAAGACACCAATGGCTGGTTTCGTAGCAAATCCCAAAAGGCCTTTACCGACACCCTTGAAGAAACCAGCAGCACCTTCTTGTTCTGCTCCTTCAAGAGGTTTACGTGCCAATCCCCCTACACCACTTGCAAAACTACTGATGAGGGAATTTGCGCCTGCCGTAACACCATAAAGAGCGTGCTTGGGCCTATTTCGAGATCGAGTCATACGACGACGATCTTGGAATTGTTTATCCATAGTAGCTTCAGCGAGGCCTTTTGCAATACTACCCGTCCACTTCGAGAAACTGTCTGAAACACCAAATACTGATTTCTTGACAAAACTGGTGGCACCTTTGGCGATACCAATACCAAGTTGTTCTGGATCATTCATGATGAATCCTTGATATGGTTCATAAAAGATGTCAGCAACACCAGAACTGATGTTGGTGAACAATCCGACAGGATTTCCAAGGAAATCAGCTGAACCCAAGATCTTATGAACTTGATAAAGTGCTTCTTGTGAATAATGATTGGAGATGTTCATCATCAAAACAGCGGCAGAAACTCTTGCATTCTCCAACATCAAAGCATTCATACGAACTGGAGCATCATTGATATTACCAATAGCCATCGTTAAGACATTCATGAAGAACATCAAAGGATTCTTTGATGATGTCTTATCTTCAACATTGACTCGATCGGTGCGAACGAAAGACAAATCAAGTTGCATAGGTTGAATATTGAGTAGTTCGAAATAGATATCTTGACCAGATTGCTCTTGTTTTGGTTCTGGAATATCCAGACTTTCATCACAAAGTACACCTTCATGTGTTTCCGACCAGGCAGCTCCAGGCACCTTTGAGAATTCTAAAACGGCAAAGATAAAATCTTCATCAATTTCAAGAGTCATTTGTTGCACCAAAATCGTTGCATATTTGATGTAAATAACTCCGTATGAATCATCCTTCACTCTAGTAACCATAGCATGAAGAGATGGATGAGCTTCAGTTTCTTTAGTGCCCTTTTGAACGACACTAGGATACAGAATCATGGGAAAAATTCCACCATAAAGTTGATTGTCAATTTGGATCCACTTAATAGAAGCAGTGATGGTTTGATATAGAGGCGATTCGGCGTATTTGAGAGCGATATCACGCAAAGTAATGTAAGCAAGTTCCCTGAGTTGAGCATTGACTAGAGAGATGCCAATTCCACCAAGTTTGAGTTGTGCTTTGAAGTTGACGGCAGTATCTTGACTCTTGACCTCAAATCCTCCAGCAAAACTAACAGAAGAGTTTGTTCTTGACTTTTGCTTATACAAACTCTTCGATGCCTTATAGTTGGATAGAATGAGGGTTTGTGTCGGACCGTCTGCTGCGACGTTGAGATCAATGATCTTTTGGTTCCTGGGGTTGGGATCATCTCCTCCAATCTTCATAGGAATGAGATTACCAATCTCTGCAAGTTTTATGTGACGTTCCTTTCCGTTTGCAACAATTATCAACTCCTTTTGTTTAGCAGCAGGGTAGTCCCAGGCGTATGGCATAATACTTCTTGGTGGTAAACGATATCTGATTGGCTTCCATCCAGATCGGTCCTCGGCATCTTCATCGTCCAAGTTAGGGTTTGCTTGGAAGAACATGAATTCTGTGTCACTCTCATTTCGCATAGAGAATGGCCAGTTCTTGGTTTCAGCACTGATATGCAAGAAAATTGTAGCATTTTCCATGAGGACTTCAACTCTGATGAGTTTCTGTCGTTGCCCAGCCTTGGCTAATTTCACATGTGTAATTCCAAGATTCGAGATTGTGAATGGTGATGACCACTGGTTGTTTAATCCTGGGAAGCACATCGTGAGTTGCTTTACTTGACTCTTCTGAAGGAAATGAAGAGGTTCCAAAGCTTGCGGCTTCAAAGTCCAAAGTTCAGATGAACCAGGCTCTCTAACGTTCAATTCTTCGTTCATTTGATTCTTTAGAACGAAACGAGGAGCGAGTGTGACAACCTTTGTCATTTTGTATTTACCCTCTCCTGCTTCAACACTGATGCCGACATGGATTTCGGTATTGTTGTTTGAGGAAGGTAAAATGACATCAACGTTGCTGCCGATAGCATCCAAACTTTGCGGTTTACTCCAATTTGAGTCACCAACCTTCAATAGAGCACGATTTCGTTGATCATCTCCTCCATATGCGAACATGTAGGGCAGTGCTTTGCGTCGTTCAGAATCAACTGAGTCAGTATGGAATCCTTGACCGGCTGCTGTCTTTGCTTGCTGCAATAGCGATTTTTGTTTGATGTTGATCTCTAAGCCAGTCTTATTTAGGATGACATAAGGACTGTAAACTGTGACTCTGAAAGCTCCACCACTATCTGGAATCTTGAAATAATGTAATCTGAGGTTCAAAGCAAGTCCATCACGATCTTTACAAACCAGAGCTGTCTCCTTACGGAAGTCATCTTGGTTATTTGAGTTGATGATTGCAAACTCGCTGGCTTTGAAGACTGTATCCTGCATATCAATGCTCATGAGAAGTAAATGCGAAAGTTCGACGACATGAACAGGACTCAGACCACCTTTACGAAGGAAGTTTGTCCAATCTTTCTTTGTATTTTTGTCGTAGATACGATACTTGAAGTCATACGGTAGTAGGTTCTCAAGCTCAATAGGTGCCGAAAGTCGAATTCGCATATATGGGTAGATACTAAAATTGTTAATTCAACCCAAGTAAAAAAGAATAACAGAATTTCTTACCTTGTAATCGGAGTAGTCTTGTCATAAGTGGCGTTCATTTGGAAATAGAATGGGGGCGTCTTATCACCGCTTTCACCCTTGCAAGTAATTGTTCTTGTAGGTCTCTTCAGAAGATCTTTCCAAAAGAGTGATTCTGTAGACCAAGAATAACCGAAACCTTGATCTGGTCTCACCAATAGTGATTTCATGAATGCCGCCCCAACAGGCGCGGGACGACTTTCACCAGGTGCGATTTTCTCAATTTTGAGCAGATGGCCCTCTTGAGGGTCAAAGACTCCAAGCTCCACAGGAATCTGTGTCTTATTTTCTACCAGTAGTGGAGATCTCAAGGTGATATACTTGACATTATCCTCACCCAAGGTAACTTCGACAAGCAGTCGATGTAAGATCTTATCTTGACGGGGTCGTAGACTGTACAGAGTCTCTCCTTCACGATTGACTGGAATCTTGCTTAGACTATCAAATCCACTCCCTTCTAATCTTATCCCGACATATCCACTAGTATTCTCAGGCGAGAGATTCTCACGCATCTTCTCCCAATCTTCAAATCTCCAAGGTGCTTCCTCGCCATCCGTCAGCGTAGCAGCCATGGTGTTATCAGCATCAGGGACATCTGCCCATACATTAACATCGAAACCAGTATAATTGCGAATGCGATATGGAGCATCGGCTCCTCTTGGTTTTGATAAGACATCATCAGACTGGCTGAGGAACTGCGCGGACTTCGATGCCAGTGCAATAGTCGCGGATGTGACAGTGATCTCGAGCGTCTTTTTCGAGATTAGATCGACGGACATGCAATCCGGGTTAGTGTCCTTGGCTACCAGTAGTCCTAGCTCCCAAGGCTCAATGAGAGGCTCCCATGCTGACTTGGAGAAGTTGTAAACATTGATGAACATATTGATTGCGGTATCAGCTCGTAAACTACCCGACCAGTCAGCAGCAGAAGCTGTGAATTTCTTGACACTAAGATCAAGGATTGGCAATTCATGTAGATCGCCAATTAGAATGAGTCTCATCCCTGCCAACGTCGCAGTCAATTCCTCATGCTTCTTGTGGGTAGGTTGAGTACTGGTTTGGGCAGTTGGAGTTTGTTGAGACGGCACAATCGTGCCGGCAGTGGTTCTCTTCATTGTTGATGCACCTCTACCGCTAGCCGATCGTTGTTTGAGGCTTGAGGAACTTTGCAATTGCTTTGCCTTGACATCAGATGCAGCGGGTTTCTTCTCACCAGATTCATCATCATTGCCGGAAAGCTCAGATGCTCTTTGTACAATCTGAATCGCTAGAAGAATATCACGTAGCGATAATCTCAGAACAAGAGGCTCAACATCAAGATAAATGCTTTGGGCATTTGGCTTCGAACTATCCAATGACATTTGGAGAGAGAAGTCGTCAAGAATTCTCAGGCGAGTATCCTCAAATTTGTCCATTCGGCACAAGAACATACCCATCTCGGACACCTGTAGTGTGAGAGCATGCTGCTGTGACATGAGGATTTGCTTAGTTCCAAGTACAATTGCTTCGGAACTGGTACTGAGTGGATTTGCAATCAATATTATCTGTGCATCCACGACATTTACTCTGAAGGCTATTGACATGGAAGATTGATCGGACGAAGAAGATGATTGACTAGGTGATTTGCTTGGCGATCTTGCTTGGCTAGCTACAGTCTTAGGCCTAGCTACTTGCATGGAATCTGCATCAGATGCATTCTCGGATTCAGTCGTTTCATCCTCGTCATCTGGCGAAACAGGTTCTTCAACAGCAAGGCCCTCTGTTATGAATGCCTGTAGAGCAAAAAGATAATCCAGGGCAAAGATAACCTTTGGACTATCTATTGATAAGATAGCGATGAGGTTGCGTTCTTGTCCTCCGGAGATGGTAACGCTAGCCATGAATTGTTGCACATCTTTATTCGAAGATGTCATAATCTTTCGAAATTTGTTCGTCTCTCTCTTCCTACTATCCTGGATAGTGAAAGCGTGGATTAAAAATTCTGATTCCAATGAACCATCTGTCATCATGCGGAGCTTAACCTTCGTGTCATCCATAGAGAATCTTGATAAGCTTGCGGCCTCAAGATCACCAACTGGCTCATTCTCCTTTGCTAGGATGAGTTCGAGACCGATTGTGTTCACATGGAAGGCCAAGTCAAGCTTCGTCCAACTCTGTGCATTAGAACCGAGTTCTGGACCAAGATCAACCAATTCTTTATTATGGTCATCGTCTGATGATTTCTGGGTGATTGCTTTTGCTCTTTTTGTCGTCGGGCTGGCCACTTCGTCTACAGCTTGTTGCTCGCTGACATCCGAATCCACCATGAAAGCGCCTGGAACAGACTTTGCTAATTCGAGAAGAAATTTCAACTGCATTTGTGTAATTCGCAGATTGAAGTCAGACATGTGACCTTCGATCTCCAAATCCGGACGAAGTGCTCCAGCAGTATGTTCAGCATAAGTGACCAAGAAACCCAAATCAACTTTGTCAATGAGTTCAAGCTCTTCTGCCTTCTCATCTGGGAAATGGAAGTCAGATGTTAATCGAATATTTCTAATACCAGCTGTGAGCTTCATTGCAATAGTCGCATCCTTCGAGTCATCAATTGGGACAAATTTGTTTTCTGCATAAATTTCTCCCAGGTAAGCAGTTATCATGTCTCTCTTGCCGCTGCCTGCGTTCGTTACACGAGGGAAGACGACAATAGGTGTTTTGATGTTGACATCGAATTTAATGCGGCTGGTACTTTGCTGAAGTTGAGAAGCTTGATTTGCCGCAGCTTGTCGAGCAGCATTGAAAAGAGCTTGCATCTTGCCAAATTTGACCAAAAACTCAATAATCTTACGATATGGCTCTTCAAGGAAATTGACTTTGATAGAACCTGCGCGCAAGTAGATAGAGGAATCATATCCAGGGTATGAACTGCCTTTAGCATCAAAGGTCTCATATCGGAAATCGGCCAAGTCGTCTCCCTCAATAGCGATCAATTTTCGAAGATTGGAATCGCTGGAGGCTCCGAGGTTAACATCATCTACTAAAGATAGATCTCCCAACTTTGCGCCAATTCGTAAGGTATTTCCTAGTATAAAGATGCCTACATCCGCATGGTTGAATGAAAGAGTGGCTAGTCGAATGCCATCGTTATTGAGTATCAAGCGTATACTCTTCAGGTCAACCTTAACACGAACTGACAATTCAGTGTTCTTGGCTGGTGGTACTACCTCTTCTTCAAACGGCGACTCATCTGGCACAGCTAGTAGATCATCTGTGGTTTCCTTGGTAGGTGCAGGCAATTGAGGTGGGCCGTCTTGATTTGTAAATGTAATCAAGATGAAATCAAGCAGAGTCAATAGAGTCTTGCGAGTAACCACTAAATTTATCGTGGAAACAGAGACATCTACATTAATCTCAACTCCGTCATATTTTGGCATGAACTCCGGCGAATGTGGATTTACCTTCACCACTTTCACGTTGATGAGGGCGGTTTCGTCTTCTGATTCCATGTCTCCAGAGGAAACTATCGATTTGAATTCAGCGGGAGGATTATCAATGAAATCATCCACAACTACGGATTGGAGGACAGTTTCTACAATCAGATCGTATGGACGAAGAACAAGATTCACGCCAAAGTTCTCAGCGACTACTTCCACCAAAAGTTGATCTGGCTTCCTGCCTTCCGGATCACTTCGATAAAGCGAGCCCTGAAGTCGTTCCACTTCAAATTTGAGCTCAAAATTCTTTTGTTCCAGTTTGAGTTTATCACTCTCTTTGCCGCTAGGAGCGTCTTGAAATTCATCGTCATCATCGTCATCAGACGACTCATCTTGAAGAATGATAGCCTCTTGTCTTGAGAAGTTGAATGATGTAGATTGTGCCCGATCCCTTGGCTTTGACGAGGAGGGTGCTCTTATTGATAAAGTCGAAGTTCGGCGACTCTTCGCTAATGTCTGTGCTGGAAGTTCCTCTGCATTTACATTCGGAATAGCTGCGTTGATAATACTCATCAAGCTTTTATATTTCTTGTCTGAAACAGAAGCATGTAGTACAGGTAGACGACCAGAGACTCTTACTTTGGTCAAGTTTGGCGCTTTTGGTATGATTGAAGTTTCGACAATAAAATCAATATTGATTTTCTCGACAACACGCATCGATTGAGGATCTTCCTTTTCCATGACTTGTAGTTTTGTGTCTTCGATGGAAGGTCCAATGAGGACTTGGGTATTGGAAAGCTTGACCACAAATCTATCGTACATGAGAGATTCTAGGCGTTGATAATCTGCATCGGTATAAACTGTCTTCTGCTTTGATTGCACTTCACGCATTGTTTCCTCATCCACAAGTTCACTGTTCACACTGATATGACCGGCATCGAGAATCAGACAAGTCGTTTTGCTCGAGGTAATGTTTTCAGGCACAATGATGAGAGGCGCTTGAAGATCTAACTTGGCATTGATTGTTTTGTGCTCCTCGAGTGCGAATTCAAGTCCTGCTCGTGTCTGTTGTCTGAGTCCTTCTACTGTCGCTCCGGCAGATTCCATAAGAGCCCCGATAGACTCCATATGTCTTTCTGGTGGTTTGAAAAATTGGATTATACCCACAAGGAAATGAGGATTCCAAATGATCTCAAGCGGCTTGAGTTTTCCGGTCACTGCAACATCACCGGCGTCATGCAAAGGATTTGTTTCAACTTGGAATTGGAAGAATGGATCGGGAGTATCGTTAGACTCGTCATCATCGCCGTTGAGCAGAAGCTTCGTCTTGGGTGTTTCAGGAGCATCTTTAACGCGAACAATTTGAGGAAACAGACTATCAGGAGTCGTGCCGTCGTTCACTCGCAGGCCTCCAAGGCTTACATCCGCTAACATTGACTCGGGTCGCTGTAAGAATTTTGCCTTGAAAGCATCAAAGTATAGGCTGAGAACTTCGACCGTATTATTATGAGGATCACGCTTGAGTGTGAAGCTACCGGTATTGAGCGATGCCTCGATTTGCATCTTAACGGTCTCTTTTGGTAAATCGATACTTTCCGCAATTGCTGTTTTCTCATTCCAATCGATGGCGTCATACAATTCTTTCCGCTGTTCCTCGGTCATGGTGGTTTCTTCGTCTTCTTCCTGTTCTTGTTGTTTCGCGCCCCAAGCCCATGCAACCCACCCTTGCTTTTGCTTCGGTGCTGCCTTTTTAATACCAACATTCTCTTTCTTCAATTGGTTTCTGGCCAAGGATCTCCAGAAGCGTATATCTTCGTAGTCGAGTTTCCACTCAAGCTTATCCACCTCCTCATTTTCTTCAGGTGATAATGGCTCGGTCTGCTTCTTCTTTTTCTTGAAGAGCTCAATGTAACGAATTCGATCGTCTCGTCTCTCCTTGAAGAAGGCCCATGACCAGCGACGATTGCGTTCATGAATCTTACTTAAGATAGCATTACCCGCAAACTTGAACCAAGCACGTGGATCCTCTTTTGGCCGAACTCCTTTCGGTTGGAATTTCTTATACTCTTGATGAAGGAGGAAGTAATGGAATAAGTCGACCATCATCAAAGCATCTCGATATTGATGATCGTCAAGAACCACTCCAATTTCGTCGAACAACAACCCAGCCTTCATATGTGGTATTTCTATCTTACCGCTTTTGTCCATCTCAAGCTTCATCTGACCACTAACAGGCTTTAAAATAAACTGATGATTGGCTTGTTTTGCATCTTCACCTCGCACAATCATCTCTTTGAATCTCGTCAACATTTCATCGTGCGATGCGACCTCTGGAGGTGTAGACACTTCCGCCTCTCTCCCAGTGCTCAACAATTCTGTATCCGTATTCCAGTACACAGCCAAAGCACCAAGAGTGGCAAGCTTATGTGTGGTTCCAGAAGAGTTTTGTATGTACGTCGGTTTCCAATTGCCATCCGTACTGATGGCACTGAACTCTTGTAATGTAAGCCCGAGAGCAAATGGGTGACCAGGTGCCGAAATTGAGTCCTCATATCGTACGTGAATATTCTTAACCGTAATTTGGAGATTGTCGATGATTTTGGTAACCAAACTATCCGTGAAGCTCTGGTTCTTCTGTTGTTCTTCCAAACTCATCCCCTCTTGATTTCTATCTTTCAGCATCTCGGCACTGTCCAACTTCTCAATCTTAACAACCTGCCTCCTCCTCTCCTCTTCCTCTTCATCCCACTCTGCATCTTCTTTCGGTGATGCGAGTACATATATATCTTCGATTTCGACTTGTACAGGCTGACCTCGCAGATTCGACCATGGTATCTTCAAGGTAAGCTGTCCCAAATGTCCCTCCACCACATTTATAGGTAGCTTTAATTGATCCAAGGCCTCCCGTCGTAGCTCCAAATCTCGCAGCTTAACATCTCCCGACCAGATTCCTACTTTCAGTTGTCCCGGATCGAAATTCCGTATGTACATGCCCAGAAATCGATTCAGCAACGATGCGACCAAGCCTTCCAACATCCTGAGTTCCTATTGCCGTCACCCGGGCCGGGAAGCTCTGGATTAATTTGTTCGAAGAATGATGGTTGGCATCCGCGATGGCGAATTTGCGAAGATTATTGTGGAAAAGGTAGATTTACGATCATTTAATCCATCACTTGTGAATCGAGACTTTCTTCGTTCTTCGTGGCAGAACACGATTCGTTCTAACGTATTGTTGGTGGTGGTGGTGGTGGTGGTAAGATATGTGAATGTATCGTGTGAGAGGGGTATTCCAAAATCGCCCCCAGCTGCAGTGTCCCACGGGTTTGTGTAAATATTTTGGAATCAAACAATAAATAGCACGCTCAACAAGGGCAGTCACGAAGGAATAACGAATTGTTGGAAAGATGTACGATGGTATAATATTAGGAGTCACTTTGAATCGAAGTGAAGATCACAATCATAATCCATACATAATGATAATGCCACGTAAAATCGGTTCCCAGAAAGGAGAAAACCTGTAATCCTTCCTTCCAACCCTTTGAACATCCCATCCCGTCCATCGACCTAATTGTATGGATTGTGTTCATTGGTGCGCAGACTTCTTTTCTTTTGAGACCTGAAGGCTTGTGTTGTCACTGTTCGCTAAGTTGACCTTGCATAAGTTGCATTCCCTATGGTGGAGTTGGTAGAACGCACGACAGGGCACAGTTGCACACAGTTGCTCACAGTTGCTCACAAGCTCAAGCTATCAGCGATGACGTATGAAAAGATCATCTTTCTTCGGATTTTGTTCCCAAGCCATTACCCATTACGAAACAACTATCTTTGGGATCCATTCTCCATCATCCATTATCCATACCGGTATCACACTTTTCGTGGTAATCGATCAAGCACAATTTGAACTATCTAATATGTAATTGTTCCACACAAAGCCAATAATACTAGCTGCCTCCATTCAGATTTCCCGGTTTGTTTTCTCTCTGTTGACTAATTACCTAGAGAGTTAGACTACAAGTACAAGTACGGACTTTTCAAACAATGATTTCTTTTTTCCATCCCTTCCCTCTAATTTTCTCTCGTATACACGCTGGCACAATCCCTCCTTGATTTGTTGAAATTGTTACTGAAGATACTGTTCAATATACCCATTTGTACCAATTGCATTCTTGAACATCTCACATAAACAAATAATCGCGGGGTAAAGTGTTGTAAAAACCAAAACCATGCTTCGCACAACAGCTACACGCTCTCTCTTGAAGAGCTTCACAAAACTTCCCACCTCTCGAGCAAGCTATTCTCAAGCTTCCGCAGCTCTCAAAAATACTTCTTCTTTCCGCACATCAATTTCCAAACGCCCTGCAACCCTCTCCTCCCGTCTCTTCTATGCCACCAAATCCGAGCCACCCTACGTCCCCGACCAAATAAATTTCAAAGAAGAAGATAGGATCGGAAAACAAACCATCGAAGCACACCCCGAATCTGTATCATCACATTCCTCCGTTCGTCCCGTATTCGAAGAAAATCCACACCACGAAAGTCATGGATCGGTAAAAGATGATTTGGAAACCATCAAGGAAACCTTTGCTCTACGAGAAGTACCCAAGGAATCTCTGATAATTGGTGCCGCGGGTGTTATACCTTATGCTGCTACATCGGCTTCTACAGTGTATTTGGCTTATGATATCAATCAAGCTCATGCTACTGGACAAGGTATCTTATTTTCACCCGAGACGGCTCACCAATTATTGGAGTATATTACACCTATCCAAGTTGGATATGGTGCTGTTGTAAGTTCTTCTTCCCGATCCCAAATCAGCATACTCTAACTAACTTGACAAATAGATTATTTCCTTCCTTGGTGCAATTCACTGGGGTCTTGAATATGCGGGTTACGGCGGACATCAGAGTTATCGTCGATACATGATCGGAGTTGTTGCTCCGGCAGTCGCATGGCCTACGATCCTTATGCCAGTCGAATACGCATTGATCACCCAATTCACCGCTTTCACATTCCTCTATTTCGCAGATGCTCGGGCAACAGTTCGAGGATGGTGCCCTCCTTGGTACAGCACATATAGATTTGTCTTGACATTTATTGTGGGAGCGGCAATTGTGGCAAGTTTGGTCGGTAGAGGAAGAATTGTCAGCCATGATAGACAATTGAGAAGTGCAGTTGATTATATTAAAGAGGACAGAGATGGTCAGTGGATTGCATTGGAGCAAGAAGAAAAGATGCGAAGGGCGAAGTTGGCGGAAGAGGAGAAGGCGGAAGAGGAGGAAGAGGCACAGGATGAATCTGGGGATGAGGAGGAGAGTGATAATGAAGATGAGAAGAAGGATGAGAAGAAATAAATCACCATTCCGGACGATTTGTACATACCTACCTTTCTCTCCATCTGTCTTCATCATCCCCTTTTCCCCAACCAATCAATGTCTGATATTACTTCAGCTTCAATTCGGTCTAATCCATTTCCTGCAGAAGTATTTTCTATTATTTAGCAAGTTAGCAAGTTAGCAAATCTAAAATAATTACAAGATCATCCTCGTTACCATGAAGCTAAAGTGCCAGTAAACTATCTACTACGCTGCCATCAGTATCGTACTTATTCTTCTTTTCCATCCTGATACCCTCCTTGAAATCAAATCCCCTTCACTGGAAACAAGCCGTCTGAATCACCGCCCCAAACCCACCTTTCCATCAAACACACTTGGAAAGCCCATAATCATTCAATTCATATTAAGCATTATCTGATTACCGCACAGGATTTCAAACCAATCTTCATTGGTAACTATCAAGTTCAAGGATGAAAAGAACATTTCAATCTCGCAATCGCTCCGAGATAGCATTGTAATATTTTCTCAAAAAGTCCGCGATGAGGCCGCCGGTCCTCTGAGTTGATATGTCTAAGATGTGTATGTATAGCTAGGTAACGCACGAGTCTTTCTGAACGGACCCAAAGAGGAAATTTACCCGCTCTCCCCTCGCTAAACTCGCTTGCTCCGGATCCCATTCGATGTTTGTTTGACAAGATTCGGATCTTTGAGGACCTTCGATTTTTGAAGAAGATTTCGGGATCGGGTGTTCCTACTTGTCGAACATTGTCTGGAGGACTAGGACTCTGGGGATTTTCAAGCGGGCGAGGGATGGAAATAAAATTATCTAATAGGTAGGTGGATATCAAAATATTTGAGAAAAGCTACCAGGGTATCAATCTTGATGCAAACATTCTAGAATCACTCACTCTCGGAACTAGCAATGAGAAAGCCGCGCAGCTCGAATTGCGTATCTTCCGACATATCACGGGAGAGAATCAAAGAATACGATTACCATAAATCTCAGATGCAATTGCACATTAGGATTCTGGATATCAAGTTCTCACTGTGTAGTATGTACACGCACGAAGGAATTGTGATTGATTTACAGACTGGATGGGAGTCGAAGCTGCGAATTGGGTAATGAGAGGAAGTTGTTTCAAGGGTGTTTCAAGAGCATGTGAGAGTGCATGTTTGATTTTAGTTTTGAGGAAGATGGTTGGGGTTGGTGGTGTGTTTGATGGTGTATGTATGTGTTTGAGTTTCTGATAGGGAAGAGGGTGTGATATGATGTGATATGATGTGGTTTCGTTTTGTCTTTTAATGCGTCAATGGAATTATGGAATTTCTTCCCTCAGCTTCGCTTGAAGCGTGAGTTCTGGAGAATGAGTTCTTGAGCATGGATATTATGAAAGATTTCTCGATGAGTGGTGTATGTGTGTTCTAGATTCTAGAATCATTGAGAGATAGTGATACTTGTAGAAGAACGACATCGCACTTGAGAGGGAGAAATCCAATTACAAAGAATGTAGACACTGCATCACTCGAACTTGAAAGGTAAATGTATAGATAAAAGATCTAGTCAGATCAGAAAATAATGTCACATCACATCACACCAAGCTAGAATCACCCACTACACTTTCTCAATATCTAATTGATTTTGATTGTAATCACCAAGCAAAACTCGGATGAGTAAGGTCCATAACAAGGCCCATAACTATCTAATGAAAATTGATTCAAATTGATTCAAATTGATTCGATGTAATATGTTATGATATGATACATCAATGCAGCCCCATCTGCATATCATTTTGTTTGATCTCCCGACTTTCCCGTTTGATTGTCTCGCTCAAGCAGAACCAGACCAATCAAACCAAGTCAAACCAATCTAGTTCCCAGCACATCGCGATTTGTAGATTACCTAGCATGCCTCTCCTATTCATCAACTTTGTGCCATATTTGGATCCATTATTTGATTCTTGATTTTTTTTTAAATCTTCGTTACGCTGAACTGTCGCTTAAACAACCATGAAAATGCTGAATGATCCTCCGCGGGTGACCGACTGATTTATCTCAATGTTCAATCCCATCTATATCCACAAGAGGGGAAGTGAAGAGAGAAGGAAAGAAAGAAGACCGTCTAGAATCTTGAATTGATGTCGTGAAGTATGAAGTGGAACGAAAAAATGTAGTGATTTTCAAAAAAGGGTAACTGCAGTCATCATGCATGATAATAAAGACGAAATGAAGATTTTCAAGTGGTGTTTACCATTCGTATTCTCCAGTTGCTTTGTGGAATACGTATTCCTTGTTATTGACAGTGAGTACACCATCTTTCATGACGCACTTCCTGTATAATTGGTTAGCATGTATATAATGAAAGGAATACAATATTCATACCACTTGTTCTTGACTCTTTGGACTTTGTCATACATGCAAAGCATAATATGTCCCATACTTTCATCGTCTTCATCATCGTCATTCAATCCATCGTCAGGATCATCCAAATCCGAATTGATTGCATCTTCATCTAATTCATCCTTAACCTTTTCGTCATCGTCATCAGAGCCAAGACCATCTGTTTGTGGCAATGTGCCTGGCAAGGTCTTGCGTTGGCGCTTGGTTGAAGGGATCTTATTGGCTTCCTTGAGTGGAAGCATTAGACCACCACCTTCCATAGCCTTGCCCATGGATTCGATCTTGCTACGGATGAGATTGTCAATCTCGATTCGACCCATGGCAATTTCATTGCCTTGGGAATCAACTTGTTTGATAACTCCAATAGATTCATCCGTATCATCGCCAGCCCCGTCAGTTTGTGCACCTCCAACACCACCTTGAGGATTTTGTTGGGCCTGGGGGGCTTGAGGATTCTGACCATTCTGACCATTTGGGGGGTTTTGAGGGTTCTGGGGGTTCTGAGGGGCTTGGCCGTTTTGGAAAGCCCTCTGCTGTTGTAACTGCTGTAGCTGTTGTGCTTGTTGAGCTGCAACACTCTGTCTATAAGCCGCTGCAGCTTGTTGACTTTGTTGGCTTGGCGGACCCTGAGGTTGTCCTTGTGGCTGTTGTGGTTGAGCTTGGGGAGGTACACCACTGCCTGGTCTCTGTTGCTGCTGCTGCTGCTGCATCGATTGCATTTGCAAATGTTGTTGTTGCTGCATCGCTTGATGCTGCTGTGGACTCATTTGAGACATGGGTTGCTGCTGGGGTGCCCCACCCCCTCCTTGAATGGATTGAATTGAAGCTGCAGCTCTATGTCCATAAGAAGCATGAAGATTTTGAGCAGCACGTTGTTGAGCTGGCGTAGCATTTGGCATAGTCATAAGAGGACCCTGAGGAGGTGCCTGTGACATAGGAGACGGCATGAAGCCTGCATTCTCCATACCAGGTTCAGCCTTGATGCGAGGTCCATTTGGCATTGGAGTTTGGTATATTGGCTGTCCTGGAGGTATACCTGTATGTTGATAATTCGAAGGTACCATTGGTGGATTTTGCATAGGTTGCTGGTCAGGCTTTGGATCCCATGGAAACAGAGCAACACCGAGTGTTGACAACTTGTTTTGCCATCCCTTTGAAATAATGTATTAGCAAGATCATTTGTCAACTTATCTTAAAATGATAAAAGTGTTGGTAGAAATGTTCAAAGAAATAAGACTAAAGGACTATAAGACTACGTGCAAGGACACTGATGTACTGCTACATGTGTACTTTCATGTACATCTATGTCCAAGAAGTACCACGTGATACAAAAGACGGAAAGAGACTAGCTCGAGAAAAGTGTTTTCACAGCCGAGAGGCTGAGGTCAAGGGTATAAAGCCAAATACAGAGGATCGCCCACCCCCAAAAACTGGCCCGACTGTGCACAGGCAGCAATCAAGCAGCAACAGAAGAAAACCAACGAAACCAGCAACAAAGATTCATATCAGAGCAGAATCCAACAAAATGACATGCCAACAAGATCAGGACCATTCGAAAATCAAATAGTCATTCACGAAGAAAAAGAAACAAAGAATCCAATTGAAGACCTCGTCAAATGCTCGATCGCAGAATTCAGAAAGTTGATAAAAGACTCAAAAACATACCTTTCTCAATTCCTCCAATACAACTTCATCAACTCCACTCTCCTCGAAGTCGACTCTAGAGCTATCGACTACATCTGTAATAATCTGCTGGTAAACATTTCCGACCTGAGTGTTCGACATCTTGTTGCTTGCGTTGCTTGGGTATGATGGAAGAAATATCGGTCGCGTGCGCAAATGGGATTCGTCTTCAGCTATCTCTTCAACGATTTTATTCTTTACACGCGAGTAAACGAATTTGCAGATATGGCGCTTTCAATTCTTATTACTCAAATATCATAAATCGGAGATCGAAAGCTGTGGAAAGAGGTAGGTGTTGGAAAGTTGTTGATGCAATTGTACTATTTCCAGCTTGTGAAGACGGTCAGTCGTTGACTCGCAACAGTAATTGCCCCCTCCACGCTTATATTCAGATTCGTAAATTTGTATGCCACTTTTTGATTGACTTAAGGATCTGCTTGACTATCTTATGTAACTTTGTAAACAAATTTAATGGAATTCAGAAATGTAAAGTGATATTTGCTCTGTTCTGGCTTGGAGTTGTATGGGGGAAGGTCGCTTTGGTAGAGATATGGATAACCTTAGCCTGCTTTCGCTTATATAATGACTTAAGAGAGCCTGAAGGCTGAGTCTTTGCCTTTCTCTTTATTTCTTTCCAATAACTTGTTACAAATCGACAAATTCACTCATAATTATTGAACAATTGAGATTCACTCCCAAAAGCAATGAGGGTAGATCAATCTTCGGAAACTAATCTAATTGGGCTACGAAATCTCTATAGTTGAGATAATTGGCTGATTTACTTGCTGCTTCCATCGTATGTCTGAGACTTAAGTAGTCAGTCTTCATTTGAAGTTTAGAGCATTTTCACAATGGGTTGATGAACCAATTCAGTCACTTTTCATGTTGTAGTATTCAATTGGTTCAAGTAATTTACATTTCCTAACAAAATTAACTAATACAAAGTCCCATCCGAAAAAGGTGTACGCCAAATAAGCACCAGAGGTATCCATTCATTCATCGTCAAAGCATCAACTTGCACCAGGTGAAGCACTTTCTGCCATGGGCATTGTGAAGATCGAAATCCACCAAACACCACGCTAAAACATCCCAATTGCTAAAATGCTATTATGGAATTTGCTTTATACTTTACCTGTAGCTCCAAGAGCTATCCTTGACCTATCTATCTGATAGTCATTTGCTTGACCATGTCGGCCTTTCCTGATGCACCAGCTGATGCGGATGCACTTGGGCCAGTCTTCTTCTCGAAAACCTTCCAGAACTTCAAGCTCTCATCAGCAGCTAATGAATGTTAGTAAATATCAATTTAAAGATGGAAGAAGTAACTTACCAGCTGTGGCGAGCATTTGTCCATCTGGGCTGAGACAGCTGTGGAGGACTCTGGTCTCGTGGGCTGGAATCTCGACATTGCGAACCAAAGTAGGGTAGCTCCAGATGCTGATAGAGTTGTCTGGGAATCCACTGGTGCTAACAATCTCGCGGTAATGAGGGCTCCATCGGAGACTGGTAACTTGGGAGCCAGTGTCGATGCTGTTAACACGTGCACCGGTGGTGGTGTTCCAGAAGTGGATGTGACGATCGTATGATCCACCACCAGTAGCCAAAACGTTTGGTTGCCACGGGCACCAGCTAAGAGCCTTAACAGCTGCCTTGTGGTTGGTCTTGGTAAACTTGGGAACAGCCAAAGAACGAGCATCCCAGATAGAGACCAAGTTGTCGTTGCCACCAGTGGCAAGTTGAGCACCATCAGCGCGCCATTCCAGACCACAGACTTCGGAGGTGTGGGAAACCAACTCAGCAACTTTGTGTTGAGCGATGCGAACATCGTGGTTGTAGACAAGACCACTTCGTGCGCCAGTAGAAAGAGTGTGCTTGTTCCATCCCATTACACCAACACGGGTGTCGTGTCCGTGCATACTTCTGAGCTTAGTGCCTTCTTCGACATCCCAGATTTGAACTTCTCCGGAACCGAGACCAACACTGACATACGCTCCATCACCGGACCACTTGACACTGCTAACATAGGTATCTGGGCTAGTTTCAAGAAGAGAGCTGACAGTGCCAGACTCAGCAGACCAGACATATACATTGCGTTCAAGACCAATGGCAACTTGGTTGTTGGAGCTCCAGTCAAGGAGGTTCAAGTAGTAATCGTCGACGAGACCAGGTGCATCCAAGACACGCTCTGGTGCAGTTGCAATGCGGCGTCTGAATTGAGCAGCGGAAGCGTTGGAGTTTTTGAGGGGACGGTTGTATTGGGATCGGAGATCAACAGGCTTTGAGGATTCGGGAGCAGCAGGCTTGAATGCGAGGATTCTTTGGCCTTGAGAAATACCACAGGCAGATGCCAATGAGTCTTGGTATGCAATAGTATTTGGTGATGGGCGAGAGTATGAAGCTGGCTCTTCTTCATCATCAATGGTCAATGATTCAAGAGCAGCGAGAGCGTCACCGGCACCTGATGCGAGAACTGAAGAGCTTTCATTGATGCTCTTTGGTCTTTGCTTCTCGGCAAAGTCAGCTTTTCCGCAGCCAGCGGTTGTGATGGCTGAGCTTGCAGCACGGTCGGGGATAAATCTGTCGCCAGAGTAGGAGACAGTAGTCTTGGCGGCTTTCGAGCGGACTGGACCTTTTCTTGTTCGTGTAGCAACAGGGGTCTTGCATCCTGTACCAGTAAGAGCAAAGTCAGAGACACCGAGCTCAAGAGCATGTCGAGGAGTTTGAACACCCTTGGCAATGTTGGACTTTGGTGAGTCGCGGTGAGACTTTCTGGAAGACTTTGCGAAATGTGATGTTAAGTTTCCACCGTATGTTGACTTGGATGATAATCGTACATTCTCTTCAGATACCTTTTTCTCGGGTGGAGTAAAAGGAGATGAGTTATTGATCGAGAGAGTTTGGGTGCGTGTACGGGGAGATGGGGTCAAAGGCATACGTCCGCCAGCGGTACGTGTGGAGAAGAGCCCAGTGTGGGACTTAATGGGGGTTGATACTGCGGTGGCCATTTTGCAATATCAAGGTATGATTTTGGTCGAAAGACAGATTAATAAATCGATGGATGATAGGAGTAGATTCGGTACAACGAACGAGCTCCAAGAGACTCAACCTAATGGTTCCTGGTAATTGTTTGGGGTTAGTATAATTCGTGTTCGTGCTCGATATATCGAAAAGTCCTTCTATATAAGAATGGCTTAAGAGTCGGGTAACGATCAATGGTGTGTGGCAGAAAGATCTAATAGACTTGAAGTATTCTTGTAATTGAAGGTAGTTGTTTTATGTCTTGGTATGTTATGTGATTATGAGTAGTGTGAATGGAGATGAGAGGTAAAGGTACGGAAGTATAGAGAGATTGCGAATGTTGCATGAAGAAAGAAAGAAAGTCTTTGAGAAGGGAATATTCAAGAGCTTTTCTACTCGTTTGTTTACTCCACTGAATTAGTTTGGTTGTGAGGGGCAACCATCCCGCAACGATTAAAAACGTAAAACTTTAACCTCAGGCAACATCTTAGTACTGTCCGAAATTTTAAGCCACAAATCCCAGAGCGCGTATATTAATTCCGACCCGCCGACCCACCTGCAGCCCCCATGGACTCTTTCCAAAATACTTCAAATGTTCCATCTCATCGTCACCCGTGCATGATTTTTATGTATATTGAGGTTGAAGAACCATGAAAAGTTTAATGTAATCAAGTACATCTTGAATTACCATATGAACTATACACAACGTAAAATACAATTCATACAATCATCTTCTTTGTGTCACCGAACAGAAGAAATCCCCATTCTGTTTCTTTGACTTCTTTTGGTTTGATCTGTTTGTCCGCCATTTTCTATTCGTCTGAGGAGTTTGTGCACATTCGCACAGCATCAACTCTTTTGATTAACCAATCTAGCATGACCACATAGGATACCACCTCTTATTATGGCTCAGCCTTCTACACCCGGCGGTACACCCTACTCCATCTTTGGCCCTGGCTCTTCTACTCCTACCCATACCAATCAACTTTCGGGAGGTCCTCCTACCACTCCAGGTGCCGCTCCTTCAAGCAATACTTTCTTAATGCCGAATTCGCCCGTGAAGAATAGATTGGGTATGGATGGGTATAGACCCAAGGTTACAAGAACTCTTGGTCAGGTAATTCATAAAACTCTCGACACTTTGCGGATTATTTCTAACCCACGTTCAAATTTATATAGCGCCCAGCTTGCCTTGTCAATGCCTCTGTTACATATTGCGGCAACAATCAGATTTATGCCTTTGGTGGTTTCGATCAGTATACCGACGAGGTCTATAACCATGTTTTGAGACTTGATCTGGTTAGTCACCAATGGAATTTGGTCGACAATTATGGCGACATTCCCGGTGTACGAATGGGTAGGTCTGATATGTGCTCAATGCGTTTACAGTTCTAACAAGTCTTATAGGTCATACCGCTACACTCTATCAAGGCGAGAAACTACTCATATTTGGTGGTGAAAACGAACATCGTACATACCTCTCTGACCTCATCATTTTCGATCTCAAGACCGCACACTGGACCCAACCAACTGTATCTGGACCTATACCAAAAGGAAGAGCAAGACATGCTGCTGTGTTGCACGAGGATAAGCTATTTATCATTGGTGGTATTACCGGTCATAATAATTATGTGTTGGATGATATTTGCTACCTGGACCTAAAAACCTTCACTTGGTCTCGAGCATGGCGTTTCGTTGGACGATTTGATCACTCGGCATATTTATGGGGAGATAGAGTTTGGGTTTTTGGAGGTCTCAGCGAGGATATGGATAAAATTGGTGATGTATGGTGGTTGGACTTTAAGGGCAGCCCAGCATTCGAATCAGCACCCTCATATGGTTCTATGGACAGGCATGCAGCTCTCAGTCGTTCTCCTCGACCATCGTTTTCAATGTCTCAGTCTGCTGTAGGCAGTTCAGGCTATGCCGCAAATTCAAGCAGCGCACAGGTCAATCCACCTTCATTTCAATTGACTACTTCTCCTCCTCTTGCTCCTGGTACAATCTCTTCGTTAAAATTCGTATCCGGCCCCAATATACCCGCCCAAGGCTCCGGTATGCATTTCCATGTTTATACATCCGGAACTCTTCTCGATTTTGTCACCCCTGCAGCAACTATAACACCACAAGAGTGTTCTTTATCGTCTCTGGAATTGGACACACTGCGTTGGCAAAAACTTGCAGAAGGTCGAGATATTTTCAGGCCAGGTTATAGATGGCATTACTGTACTTTGAATGACGAGGGTACAAAGGCTTGGCTGCTTGGTTGTCCAACTGATCCCACAGCAACAGATCTAGGTCCAGGTGGTTTTGAAGAATATTTAAGGTATGTGATCATTTACTTAATTTTAGACAACAACCATTGCTGATCATTTCCTTCTTTAGTGATATAATGGAGATTGATCTTCGACGATATGGTTTACTCGGCAACGGTTTAAATCCTGAGCCTCGAGAAGAAGCTTCACGATTATCATCGTCTGGTAGAATGAAAGTCGAAACCTCAAAAGGCCTTGGTATGGATTTAGCCAAAGTTTTCAATCAAGCACCAGAAAGCGGTAGCGGGGCAGATTTTATCATCACCGCATCAAAAGAGGATGAGTGGGATGAGGATGATTCAAGCTCCAGAGGTTCTATCAGTCAGGTTCAACAAAATTGGTTGGCTCCTGATGCACCAACATCTCCTCCGATTCATGTTCACAAACTCATTCTCCAAGCTCGATGGCCCCACTTTGCACGCTTATACAATGCGCAAATGGCAGAATACCATACAAAGAGAATGCACATACCAGAGCCCTATCCGGTTGTCAAGGCATTTTTATACTATCTGTATACTGATAGTATCCACCCAGACGACTGTGCGGAGTTGGATGACGTTGCAGGACTTTTGGTCATGTCGAATATCTACAACATTCCACATCTTAGGTTGTTATGTGTTAATCGCTTATCGAAGGAACTGGATGTCGATCACGCATGTGTTATTTGGCATTCCGCGGGTATTGCCAATGAAGAATGGTTACGCAGACGTGCTGCCAGTTTTTGTCTCACGCATTGGGGCAGAGTTGTTCGCACGCCCGGATTTTTAAGACTGCCACGCCAAGCTTTGGTTGATTTATCGCAGGAAATCGATATGGAAGGTCGTGTTGTAGGAGGTGAGCATACTTTTTCACGTCGATAATTTTACTGAACACTTCTGACACAAAATTTTAGGTGAAGAATTAGAATTTGTTGGAGGACTTGGTGGCTCTCGCTTTGGTGTAGGTGGTGTGGTTCGAAAGACTAGTGTTAGTAGCACTCATACACAAGGTGTAGGTTCCGAAGTTGATGACAATGAAGAAATGGAAATGAATTAATGAAACGAATTGATATGGTATAAATAAGATTCAGATTGGGTCCATATGGCGGCTGGGCGTTGGCTACTTGCACATTTTGCATCGGGAATGCCTAATAGGCACGACAAGGAAGGAAAGGGAAGCATTATTAGGCGCCTGGATCCTTGTTATTATATTTGGTAGTTTTCAGTAGGGAATATAGAGATACCATGTTAGGATACAAATATTATTATGAACTGAATGATAGTTTTGAATGTGCAAAGTGGGGTGACACTCAAGTGGCCTTTGGTTGAGATTTTTAGTGAAGCCTCTGATGAAAGTTCTTTCAGTGGTTTGACCTACACTTTGATGTTTACTTCCAATTTTGAAAATGTAATAATCATCTAGGTATTTGCAATTCAGCTATGGGCCATATCGATCTCTTTGTGTTTCATAAAGTTACAGCAATTTGATTGTCCAAATTCAACTCCACACAGGGATTACTACCACGTTAATATTTGCCATCCAATCATGAATTGAATGGCCGTCTTGCGCATTAGAGCCCAGGAATGATTAGAGTTAATCGCTTGGTGAATGGACTGGAAAAACGCTCCTCAAATTTACAATAGTCGTAATTAATTCGGGTTTTACCAAATTCTCTTGAGAATTATGCGTCTTATTGTTGGATCTGTAGTTAATTATTGATCAGGATCTTTAGTTTTTAGGGAAGCGTTGAAGGTACTCCAGGGGAGTGAGCTTTTTTGGGTTGTTTGGCGAGGGCTACTGTTGATACCTACTGGGTAGTGAGTGTGATATTACGTCACCTGGATGAAAATAGTCATCGATGGATTGAGTGTTAAGCGAGAAGATTCTATTTAATGGTGAAAATGTACTGCACTCGTATAGACATTCTTGAACTTTGAATGTGATGTTGGACTTTCTTTTTTGCAGTTACTGTATGTATAGTCAGTTGGTAAGAATTATTGTATATAAGTTCATGATAACTCTTGCTAACTGAATTAGACGTCAAATATGTACTGGAGGTTTGCACTCATGATCGCTCTTGTCATGTACCAATTCCATGTTTATAGCGCCACAAGCACTAAAAGGTTTCTGTTAATTTGAAACTTGTCTTTAGAATTTGAACTGCAGACTCGTCTATCTCTAAATTTGTAATGGAAAGAATACACGCTAGTAATTAGGTCAAATTCCCTTGTAGAATATAGTAGTGCTCTGTTATTCAGTAGCACCTCATCCCGTATTCCTAAATGGTCACTCTATCCAAATCTCCTCTCTACCACAAAACCACCAGTGCTCAGGAAAAAGAGTAATTAGAATACCACTTCTTCCTAGCCCAGCCTGCCATAACTCGCATCCTTCCTCTCACTCCCGTCCAGCTTCTTCCTCACCCCACCATTTCCCTCCAAAATCCACGTTTTCTTCTCCGTCTCCTGTAAAAGCATCTCGCTCTCCTCGTTGTCCCTCCTCAAATATCTCACTCGTTCCTCCAAAACTACTTCGAGCTCCTCATCTATATATTCCAATATCCTCGCATCCTCTTTCTCCCTCCCGCCATCCTTCCCCTCTCCATTCTTCTCCCTAAACCTTCTCTCCACCCCCCTCTCCTCTTTCACCACAATCCTCTCCTTCATTTTCCCCTCAAGTATCCTCTCCCTCTCTTTCACATATTTCTCTTTCCTCTCCTGTTTTTCCCAACACATCGCACACAGCCCATTCCCACTCTTGATAACTCTTCGTTCATATTTGATCTTGTACGCTGGACATGTATTCGTGTTATCAATATCTGTAGAAGTATCCTTAATAGGATTCGAACAGAAAATAACATACGGACGCCAACTGTGCGTGCAGATGCTATAGCGGTAGGTTATGCTGCGACACATTTTGCGAGGGTAAGGTGTGTTGTGGGTGATGCGGAAGTGATGGATGGATAGATGGTTGTGCCGTGTGCGGAAGTAAAATTATATCGATGCAAATAGTCGAGGCTAGAAAGTGTTAGATTTGATCCTTTGCGAAGTGGAAGGAGAATATACTAGATGTCTTTTGAATTTGCCAATTCAGTTTTTTGGTGCCAATAAAGCACTTGTGTTTCTAGTCTTCTTCAAATTCCTCGTTGTGTGATTTGTTCGACTTTCTCAACTTTAACAGTGAAGATCTTGTTGAGATTGCTTGATATGTGCCTTCGATATTCGATCCAAGATTTCGAGGATGGAGTGTATGATAAGGTACGCTCTGATTCTCATTTGTTATCTCGGTTTCCCATAAACAAGATAATAGACGTTTCAAGTATTCAAGTTATATAGCTCCCAAAGTAGACTTTCCAAGGGTAATATATTCGATAATCATCAATTGACATACAAGGCGATAAAAAAGCTTCGCCATGTAATAAGATGGCTGTGAAGTATATATCTAGGTACATAAGCCTCTAGATTGTTTATCGTATTCACTGTTCATAACGGGGCTGTATGTATATCACTTAAAACAGTGTGATTGTCTACTCATTATTTGCAAAAGTTGATGAGAATGAGTGAATATGTTCAGAAGTACTATCTACGTCAAAAGTGATGTAAATAAACCAGTAGACGACCAGAACAACAACCAAAACACAAACAAGTAAATAAACCCGCTCTTTCTTCACCTTCACCTTCATCCTTATCTACATGTAGCCCCTATCATAGCGGTATAGTAGCTAATATCTTTCTTGCTACGGGTTCAAACCATAAACATGGTTAGATTGATGTAATGCATGAGATATCATCTTGCTATAACATGCTATTTAGTGAAGATGCACTAAGCTGGTGCACAATTCCACATCACCGCAATCATCACTATCACCATCATCCTCCTCCTCCTCCTTCTATCTGTCCCCCATTTCCCATCCCTCCCCACCCCAGCCCCTAAACCCCATCTTCCACCATGAACATATCACAAAAAGAGAATTTTCTCAACTCAAATATACCATTTCCTTCTTCTATTACATACATACATACATACATATATACAACCCATATCCACTTTCCTTCTTTCCCCCCATCCATCACCCAACACCTAACACTCAATACTCAATGCCCAAATTCCCACTCCTCACCCACCCCATCTCATCTCTCTCAATCAACTATTTCAAATCCAAATCCAAGAAAGAAAGAAAGAAACCCAATTCCCAATTAATTCACCAAGTCATCGAAGACGAGCTATACTATACCATTAACAATATCACCATAATACATCATTCATTTTTCTCATGAATTTCTCGTAGAATCATAATCATAATCAACTTCACAAAATCACACAAGAGCAAAAGATCAAAAGAGCAGAGCAAAATGGAATGAGCAAAAGGAAGTGATACAATGGGCTGTGAAGACCAATTTATAGAGAGCAGAACTCTACCTGATTCTCGCATCCTTCGCTTCAAAAAAACGAAAACAGAAACGAATTCATGTAGTTTGACTCAACGTGGAAAATGGAATATAAGATTCTATCAATCGAGGGGAAGGGATCGCATTTGGTATTAATATTCCCTCCCCCTCATCGATTTCTCCAATCCCAAAACTCTGGATATCAAATCAAATCATCCACATCACATGCTATCATACAATCAATCAACCACCCTCCCCTCCCACCCTACCCCCAATCACAATACACAACACCTCCTTACACCCCTATTTAACCCCACTCCACGCCATCCCCAAGAGCACATCTCTCCCCTCCTCCCCCTCCCACTCAATCCCCACCTCGATTTTCTCCTTCGCCCCCCACGACTCTGCAACGCCACCAATCTCTCTCCCCTAAAATAAACCAACACACCTCCCTTCCCATTCCCCTGCGCCGTAACCCTATAAAGAGGTCCCGCACTATGCAACACCTTCTTCTCGGGAACAAACTGCAGATCATTCTCAATACACCAATCTTCCACCTTCTCCCTGAACGATACTTCTTCCGAAACCTGTACTTTCTTTGGTGGTTGCACAGTTGCAGGTTTGGGGGGGAGGGAAGATACAGATGGACTTTCCGGCGCGGGAAGATTTCCCACTTTCTCTCCAAGTCGCAACGCGTTCTTGATCATCTCATGTCCCTTTTCAAATTCTCCTTGTATCGCATTCAATTCTTTGATTTCTGCGGGGAAAACACCATCACGCCACCACTCATACCACTGTCCAATTTCTTCATTTGGACCAACAATCGTAAGCCATTGATGCAACACATGATGCCACATCGGAAACACCGTATCCACAATCACCTGCCCCACAACTCTCGGTTTCAGTATATCTTTCCAAGCCAGTACCCCTTGGAGACTGGACATATATGGAGACTGATCATTAGGATCGACTCTAAAGTTCTTCTCATTTTTCAGGAACTTAGCCATGCTAGGAAGAACATGATTCATAATCAATGGAGTCCACGTATCGTTCTTAGGACTAGGACACAGTACTTCGCGCCATTGCGAAAGACCTGGTATGACACCTCTATGAAAATCCCAAGAATCAATCAGATGTCTAAATTTTCGCTTGACATCGCTGACGAGACCAGTTGAACTTTTCGGATCGGCGTGATAGGTGGATAAATGTTGTAGCCAGGGAAATAACCAAAGATGAGGTAATTCGTGAGTTCTTCTCTTCTTGGGATTCCAAGATGAGACTGCATCATTGAGTCTTCCGACTATTGCCTGATCTAAAATCTGGGATCCAACAAACTTTGGTAATAATCCTTGCCAAGCATCTAAAAATCCCAGTACTGGGGCGGGATTGTATACATCCCAACTTTTATTGATAGATGATACAATTTTAGGGAAAATGATCTTATAGATCATACTTTCATAAGGAGTAGTCGATTTAACCCTATTCTTATGCGAGGCATTCATGAAAGAATCTTGACCGACAATAGCCTTCTCGTTCGTCACGGCCCCTAAAATATGTCGAATTTTGTAAAGATTCGGAACCATCCCATTCAATTTGGGATCCTCAAGAGGTTGCCAACCTTCCGTAGCTTGACGAAGAAAAGGATGAACGGCCGCAACAGCAATATTTGACAATTCTTCATTAGCTCCAGATATGTCAAGCCCATCCACGGTTTTCAGTGCTTCAATTACTGGATCCCACTGCCCATCCTGTACAGCCTTGGCAATCCCCTGGATGCTCTCCGCAAAAAGTTTCATTTGCTCATATTGCTGCTGTTCTTCATCTAGTTCTTGCTGTTGTTGAATGAGTTCCATTTCTGTATAAGCTTTTCTCTCCTCAAGATTCTTCCATTCTTCAACAAAGGCCGATAGATCATTTTGGGCTCTTCGAGCTAGTTTTCTATTCTCAATTTGTTCCACGCTCTCTGTCTTTGGGAGTCCAGCAGTAGGTGTCAAAATTCCAGATGTAGAAGTCAATAATTTTTGTCCAGGACCAGTCATATCCAGAATTGGAGCAAATGCTTCCGGAATTTCCAAGCCAGGCGCAGCCCTTTGTACTTCCTCCACGGTTCGATATTTCGGCTTCGGTGCTTTTCGAGGAGTGCTCACTCCACTCATACCACTATCAGTACCACTTGTCTTTGGCTTCCTCTTACGTTTCCTCCTCTCCTCATCAGAATCTTCAATTTTCTCCCCCCTCAATTTCGCTTGCCGTTTCTCCTCCTCTTTTTCTTGTTTCGATTTCTCAGCTACCGATCCCAAACCTACACCTTGCGGTCGCAAAGTGACCTCAATAACACCACTTCGACCCTGCCCCTCTTTACCCAGACCTTGTCCTTCTTTATAACCCATCTTAGCCATCATCCTGGCCGCAAACGACATCCCATTAACCGGCGTTGCGCCACCACCCGTTTTTTTACCACCTCGTCCACTCGAAGGTGTAGAAAACGCGCTCGGCCTTGCAATCCTCGGCGTCTCTTGCTCATCGTCATTATTCATTAGTATAGGATTATTCGCCGAAGATGGCACAAAGCCCCGTCCCAGAGGCGTACTCGCATTCGAACCCAATCCGGTATTCTTCAAATTACTCGGCGCTGGACTTTGAAATCCTAATCCCTTCCCAGGAGCACCAAATCCCAATCCTCGAGGCGCATTCGCTTCTTCTTCGTAATCTCCCATTTCTACATCTTTTCCCCCATTATTCGATCCCGTTTCGACTTCATCGTCCTCATCATCCTCATCATCCTCCTCCTGCCCTCCAACCCTCTCGCCCCCGCCACAAAACTCATCCCCTTCCCCCTCAAACTCTTCTTCTTCCACCTCTTCCCGGACCCCCCTCATCCTCACTCTCACTCCCAAACACACCCAACGCCGCACTTTCCTTCGCATTCCTACCCGTGCGCCTTCGTTTCCTCGGATTATAATCTGCGAATTCTTCTCGAGGATCGGTTGATGGATGTAGAAAATCATTTTCATCACCCGAAGATTCATCCGACGAATCGCGAGGGAATGCGTTCATAGACATTGTAATTTTAAGTAGGTGGTGAAGTTTAATTGCATGAAAACTCCCAAGAGTTGTTTTCTTTTGATGGTCATGTAAGGGAGATTCGGATGTGACAGCCTTGCTTAGTCAGGAGAGTCTTGAGAGCAGCCAGACGTTCGAGGAATTTTACTAGTTAAAATCTAGCCAGTCACAATAGAACCCTTACGATTGATCATATAGCTACATAGTTCACAAGCTCTAGATAAGCTAAAAAGGTTTATCATCATCAGATCCACCAGAACATACCAGTACAAATCCAAGCTGATCCACCTACAAATTCATAACCATATGAAAGACGACTAGACAAGACTCCCTCCTCCAAGATCAAAAGCTCATCTTATCTCAAATCTAGAAAGTAATGCCTATCTAGCATCTACCTAATGTCCAAATCATCAATCAATGTGTAGAACCAAATTAATCCTTCCTCCCACAGATCTCACACATTATTTATCTCTACAAGATGACAAGATATGATCGATGATTTCCCTCTTCATTAAATGGGCGCCAGATTCCCATTTCGCTACTCCTCTCACTCCTTAATTACTAGATATAACACATATCAAACACTACCTATATACAACATCACACAAACACATGCAATCCCCCAAAATACGATTAAACCATCATCATTCATTTATTGATTCATCGTAAGAAACAAAAAAAGTGACCAAAGACCTCCACTGAACAACGCACCCCTAGGTATAATGAAAAACAAATGCACGCCACTTCCCTCACTCCACAAAATGCATATAACGCTGCAAAACAATCTCAAGCTTCAAGCTCCAAACTCCATCCCCTATCCTATCCACCAAAACACCTATCTAGCTAGCATCATATACAAACATACACAATCCCATCTATCCATCATCTACAAAGCCCCTTTCCTCTGTCCCCACACTACGACTTTACCACTCTCTTCTTCTTAGCTGGCGTACCACTAGCAGTAGGGATACCAGTGGCGATCTTGCTCGGTCTTGAACTAGAACTTGTATGCGTCTTGACTCTCCCCTTCTTGTCCTTCGCTTCTGCGACTTTCCCCTTTTCCTCAGTTTTACTTTCATCTACAATCCTCTCGCCACTCTTATTAACCTTTCTACTCTCCATCGTCTTCCTTTCTTTCCTCTCCAAAGTTTGATACTGAGCAATTTCTTCCGCCCATACCACTGACTTCTTCGGTTTGCCTTTAGCTTTCTTTTCTCTCCTGAGTTTCTCTTCAAACATCTCCTTTAACTCTTTTTGCCTCTTGGCAGGATTTTCTTTTGCATCCGCTTTTCTCGCTAGAAGTACTTCTGGAAAAACAGCACCCGCTTTATTCTTCCTAGTGTTGACACGAGTTAAAGCGGCCAATTCCTTTTCAACACTTTGCTTGAGAGTAACGGTCGTATCGTCCTGTCCACCAAGCCTTCGAACTGGAATGGAACTGGGTGCTGGCAGAGGAATTTTAAGGACAGGCGGACGAGTTCTTCCACTACGTCTGATAGACCTAGCTTCTGCCTCTACTTCCTCTGTAGATGGTGGAGTTGTGGCACGACTCTTGCGCGAAGGTGATGCTGTTTCTGGAACGCTAAGGTCAAAGTCATCTCTTGGCGTCTGAACTGGTGATGATGCTTCTGCATTCATAATATCTCCCAATGGAATTCGAAGAGGTGAATGTGGCAATGATTTTCTTTTTTTGGGAGCGGGCGCTGCAGCCTTTGCAGCTTTATCTGCCTTGACTCTGGTAAGGAATTGGCGAAGTATATCTGTATCATCGTTTTCGAATGAGGTAGCATTTATCGAGAAAGTGTCGTCAGCTTCAGACGTTGTGGCAAATGCCGCCGTGGATTCAGCTGGTGTGAAACCGTGATTAGATTCATCAGACTGGTTATCGGTGTGTAGACTATTGACAGGCATCAAATCAAAAGACTCATGATCATCGATAGGTTCAGATTCTGTGGCAATCTGCATTTCGTTGGTATTGTTATTAAATGATTCATCCGAACCAGACAGTTCAGGATTGGCAACATTGTCAGTAGGTTCAATTAATACTTCAGGAAGATCCGACATGGAATCATCCATATCTTCGTCATCGGGAGTTCCTTCTTCTAATGGAGCCACGTGAGTCGTGCGGCTCTCATTGGCTGGTTTGATGTCTTCAATGTTGCTGAAAGCTTGTTGTCGATAAATATTAGCCGGTAATTCATCTGATGAATCGTTGTTGGGCGCTTGTGACTCAATACTTCTTGAATTGTCGTTAGAGGTGACGGACTGCTCAAGAAGTTCTTCAACGATGTGATTTATTTCTTTGACGGAAATTGGCACTTCAGCATTGCTTAACTCTTCTTGGCATTCAACCATCTCTTCAGCCGCAGCATCTTGAACTGTATCCTGAAGATTGAGATCTGGTGCGGGAGTTGGTGTGGATCTCAGAATATCATCAGTGTTTTGTGACGGCTCCAAGGGCGCGGAATCTTGACTATCAGTCGCACGAGTGGTTGAAGTGATGACTTCTATATTCTCCACAGGAAGAGGCTTTTTAATGGCTGACTCAAGCTCCAGTCGATCACTTGAACGTGTGCTTCGACGTGAGCTTGTTCTCTTTTGCTTGGCGCCTCTAGTAGTCTTTTGGGTAGAAATTTCCTCGATCTGGGCTTGTGCGCTCTCTGGTTTCGCATGAAAAGGTTTGATTTGGGGAGGGGTAGGTAATATATCCTGCTCCTTGATTGATCCTGGGATTGAGCTATGTGCTGTGCCTTGAGACTTGTCTTTTTTGGAGGATGCATTTTGTTTGTGGTCTACCTCTATAGCGCCCGCTTGACTTCCAACGGTTCCTTCTTCTAGAGAAGCAAAATTGAGTCCAACATGTGAGGTTCGTTTCTTGTCATCTTTCGTCAGGGCCTTCTCAAGCACCTGAACCGGCTCTGAAACTCTTCCACGCATTGATCTTCGAAGGCTTTGTCTCTTCGATGTTTTCTTAGGCGATTTCTCCAATCCTTGTATCGGTTCCATTTCCTTCTCCCCAGTAGCCATTTCGAAATCGAATACTAAAGAAGTGTGTCGCCTGTGATGCTTCTCCTCATCAAGCTTTTGGAAATTCTCCACTGGCATCATCGACTTTGTCATGCTCTTCCTCGCTATCTTTCTCTTCCTAATCGGGCTACTATTCACCTCCTTATCCTTCACTGGAGAGAGCGACAGCTCCATATTCAAAGCTTGACCCTTCTCACCCAACACCGTCTGCCTCGACGATTTCCTAGGCGTGATAACCAAATTCGCATTCGTTCTCTTCCTGGGTACCACCTGTAATTTATTAGGAGTACCTAATGCATTCTTCTTCGGACTAGCACTGCCCATCATCAGGTTTTCATCCCATGTCTCCCTCTCATCTTTTCCCTCAAGCCACTTCGCTCTCGAAATATCCTCTTTGATTCCTACCACCCTTGCCTTTTTTCTCGCTCCCGCGCCCTCTTTCTCTAGCTCCATAAACGCCTCATGATAATTCTCCTTGTTCTCTTGCCCACCGCGTAGCCCACCTCTCTTTTTCCATATTTTCTGGCCGTGTAAACGCGGGGCGTGTGAGGTGACGGGTGCTCGTTCCCAGGCTTTTAATATTTTTCCCGAGGGCTGTGGTTCAAATGCGTCTTTGTAAATTTCCCTTCTCTGTATTAGTTCGCGCCTTCATGGAATTGTGTGAGGAGACAAGAAAGACGCGCTCACCAATTCTCTCCTGTCTCAAATGATGTAGCCTCCATATTGAATACCCTCTTCGGACGCGCATTCACTGTCACACGATCGTTGGCTGTATGCTGTATGTTGTATGTCGTAATCGAATATCTCTCTGTGACAAATGAAACAATACAAGAAGAGTCCAGGACCAATATTCACAAATTATTGAATTTTAAGAATGTTTGTTCTTTAATGTCATGTCTCCCAACTACCAAGCCGTAGAAGGTCCTTTAACTTGTGTTTTCATAAATCAAAAAGACCTCCATCATGGTCCATGCTGATTGGCTTCTCGAACAGATGTAAACAAACCTGGACCCACATGTGACCTTAGAAGCCCTCCCCACTAAATCCAAAGACATACTAGCGTCTAAATTATTCAGAAGCACCGTGAATTTGACATCTGAATCTCCAAGTGGGATTGATTGATTGAATCCGTTTGCCCCTCACACTTTCTTTACATACTAGGTATACACAACCAGTGTATTTAAATTCAGCATGCCACCCAAAGGAGCCAGTACCGCCAAGGTACCCATGAGGTTACCTCCACTGCCAAAATTGAGAGTAAGGAGGCCAAATCAGACTGATTCAAATCCATGCTTGGCCATTATGACTTCAGTTCTCAGTACGACCACCTCCTCCCAATCACCAATTCTCGGGTCGCAGATACTGATATTCTATTTGTAGCATGCTGGGCATCTTCCGGGTATAACGTAGCTGGATGCCAGGCCTTAGAAACACAATTGAGAACCTGTATGGATGCGCCTGTATGTACCCCCTCCCTCCATTCCCTAAAAGCCTGCAAAAGCATTCTGGCGGGATACTAATACAATTCGCATGCAGAAAGCCGCAGCCCAGAAGAAGAACACAATCAATTACCATCTTTCACGGATGTATCCTAAAATTGTTGGACCGCGCAAGAAGAAATGAACGGATTAAAGATTTTTACAATGTGGTGTTGAAGGCATGATGTATTCACATCAGGAAAATGATCATAAGAGGCATGTATAGGAGAATGCATGTATGATGGTCTCATAGAATGAACATACAATTCCAAGCAGCACGCAATTATGTGGGAACGGGGTATGAAGGTAGACGTGCCTAGGTACTATGTACTTGTAAATATCAAGCATGACAATGGGTCGATGCACATTCTGGGAGCAATCATGGCGCAAGGGAAGGAAAATGTTATTTGAGATTCAAGATGTATCACCAGAAAATATTTGAAGTGGAAAGGTAGTTGTAAGATGGTATCAAAGATGTGGTATTTCTATGTCATCCTACTAATTCATTCCCACCGCACCATGGTATATCTCTCCCCTAGCTGTGAGGCTCTTGTTTCATAAACTAATCTTTCGCTATATGCTCTGTGAAGGCAATAAATGCGCCCTCTCCCATCGTCCTTCACCAATGCATAGGCGCCATTCACAAATTACGCCAGCGCCAAATAACACCTTTGTGCAAGAAGCAATAAACCGACTTCATGTACCCACGCCGAGACTTCCTTTATCATCATCGCAACGTTGTAATCATAACCCTCCCATCCATGAATGTTAATGTTGATATATCAAGATAAACCATGAAAATTCATATCCATCAGTGCTTCCATCCCGCGAGAGTCATCATACCGCTATCAAAACTCCCCTCAACGCTCGCCGTCAATGCTTAAACAAAATAACTCAATTTCTCCAAGTTGCCCTGTATTATGGTATTGTGACTTTTGAGCCTCGCTCCATTCCTGAAATGCAATTTGAATGTCATCATCGGATTCAATAGTAACAAAATCACCATCTTCATCACGATATCGTAATCTCATGGTCCCTCGAGCAATTGCGTTGGTTGAGAATCTTCCAACCTTAGCATCAATACGATCAGTAAGAGATTGATATGTGATGTTGAAAGCCACTACTAATGTAACGTAGTTACCGTCACAATTGACCTTGACTTTGAGCTGTGTAGGTAACAGCATGTCACCTTCTGGCGAGAGTGACATTCCACTATTACCACTTATCAGCGATGGTGGCAGCCGGCTATCGAGCGCAGTTGTTGGTATTTGAGTAGTGTTGCTGCGAGTATAATTAGGCTGTGACACGCCCAGGCTTTGTGAACCATTAGAGTACTGTAATTCATTAGCGTGCTGCGACGGGTGCTGCTGGTGCAGTTGACGTTCTCTCTGAACACCAGGCGATTGGGTGTTGGTCCTTACTGGCAATCCATTTGGTGAGTTGTTTTGGGATCTGGGAACACCAGCATCATAAGCTGGATGTAGATGTGCAGGGATGCCAGGAACGGCGGGAACTTGTCCTTGCGGGGTGCTCAGAGCTCCATTTGGTAGACGACGAACACCTTGCTGAGCATTAATGTCAGGAGTGCTATATGAGCGACTTCGCTGTTGTGCAGCGGCAGCGGCAGCCTGTGATGATGTAGCCATGGCAGGAAGTGATGGTCTCTGTGGCGTTCGGCCATTCATCTGATAAGAGGGACCGCTGACTGAACCGGGGTTATCTCTTGACGGTACACGAACAATTGCAGGTGCGGTGTAACGATTGTTATCATCCCAAGAGCCCTGGCCCTGGGGTGTTGGCTGGCGTGGAAATTGAAACATTGTAGAAGATGTACTAGTTCGTGCAGAGGGTGCAGGTGACTCTCCTATAGGCGAGAAGTACGAATCTAACAATTTTTGACCCGGGGATGGGAGTGAGCCAGAAATTTGAGTCTGTAAACTGAGAGGTGGAGCTATATTCATGCCAACTGGGAAACGTGGCGGTAGTGCTCGTGCAATACCAGCTAAAGATGGATTCTCTGTGGTTGAGGATCTTGAGCGCAGGCTATTATTAGACGAATTTCGAGCCATGCTAGCGTTTGGAGGCATTCCAAAATTTGGAGGCATTCCAGAGTTTGGTGGAGATCCATATGCAGTGGTACCACTGTAGTCTTCCTCTTCATCCTCATCCTCTTGTTGAGCGTAAGGATTAGGCATTGATGCAATTTGATCACGCGCCCATTCAAAGTTCCTTAGTGCTGTATCGGGACTAGTGCTTGTCTGCGCTCCAATATTGGCATGTTCTTTCTTTTGTTTGTCGACACCTTCATACCACTTTTTCATGGTCTCTTCGTTGGAAAATCTAATGATGAAATTCTCAACTCCTGGATCTCCCTTCCAGTATATCTGAACTGTGTAAGAACCTGGTAAATTGTCAGTGAAAGAATCTTGATACGTGGAAAGAGAATAATCTCATACCTGGCTTAGCAGATGATACTACATCCGTCACATTAGTCATGAAAATTCGACCCTTTAGCTGCAATTTAGCGTTCTTGTCCTTTTCTTTAATCTTGTTCTTATCCTTTCGATCCTTCTTATCTTTTTGATTCCCCATGAGTTTATCTTTAGATTTGTTCGGATTGACTTCCTTGCAACATAGAAGAATACGTTCAAATAGATATATAGTATACTGTTCAGGTTCGTAAGTTTTTGCCGAATTTTGTCTGGGGGAAAGAGGGAAATGCACCTCTTTCTGAACGTCACTCTTGCCAGTAACTACAGGGAAATGGCCATGCAAAATTAGGTCACCAAAATGATCGACTCTATGATTCTTCCAGTCGTCGACACGGCCGCAAAGATCCAATAAAGCTTCACCTCTGAGTTCCCTATCAACTGCTGCATTTGCCTGATGGAGCACACGATTAGATGCTTCGATACCAAGAGTAAGATCTTCTTTTGCCTCATCACTAGCATTTGTTTTGTCCCGGAGATCCTATTCATTTAGCATCGGGTACTTTCATAGTGTAGATGATCGCATACCTTTAGTAATAGAGGATATTTTACCAAACGTTGCATGGGTTTTAGGAGGAATCCATCCAAAGTATTGAAATCCACGACGACAGGGTGATCTGCCATAGTAATTTTGTCAAAGTTATCCTTCGCTATTGTTGCAGCTTTTCGCTGATTCGCAATAAATGGTTGGTATATGCCAAATGCCTCCTCATAGTTCCTGAAGGGTAGTCCCCATTCTTGTTTGTCTACTGGTTGAGAATTTGTGGTCTCAATTTTGATGAGAAATCTGCGTTGAAAGTCGAGGATCGCATTGATGTTAAGAAATATATCGTGTACGACATCGCCCGCAATAACACCCTTTTGTTCGATTGTCTTCTTGAGTTCGTGCAGGTTCTCCAAATCTTGGACGTATTTGCGTTCCGTGTCGACTAATTCTCGAACTACATGCTGCCTATAACTCATCTTAGAGCCAGGCGCAGTAGCAGACTCGTTGGTATCCTCGGCTTGAGATGTGAGAAGCAGGCCACGCTGTTCCGCCTCATCAAGGACGATATTGATAACTTGGGTGACCTGCGCAAAGTGGTAAGTGTGGGATCTCATGATTACTGATTCCAAAAAGTTGTGATTGAAATAACAAAAAGCGCGAATTGTCGCAGGTTCACTTGAGCTCTAGAAGGGGACGTAGACTGTCTCCAGACTTCACCCCTCAATTTGTCCCTTGGTACATCCTTTGATTCATGTGAAGATAGCATGTGCCGCGCTCCTCACTAAAAGTCATAGAACGCCCGCGTACAAAAGCACAATAGAAATAGACGTACCTTCACGAAACCAGTCGTGTCATCACCAAAAAGATCTGATAGAGCAAAAACATCACCCGGGGTATTTGCAAATCCTTCATACAAGCCTCAACAAACTTGAACGCTGCCATCTTAGACTTCTTTGGTTCGGCCATCTTGTTGTCGGGTAATGGCAGAGGCTCTGCTGGTTGTAGGGTATTGTAGAGCGTTACTAATGGAGTTCCCTTTCGCAGACATCGCCAAAGTGAGGACACAGGGTCCATATCCTCCTCGGCTTCATCTTCATCGTCTGAATCAACGAAATGACCGTTAAATCCAGGAACTTGTGCTAGTCGCTGTCGTAAATTGACGCAAATTTGATATAATGATCTCGAGGCGTCGGCTCTTTGGTTGATGATATTGTTTGTCGCGATTACATTTCCGCCTTGTACTGGCATCGCCAGCGGGGCTGGAACCAGTGTCGCAGAAGTAGATAAAGAATTTAATGAAGTCGTAGAGGAAGTCGTAAAGGCAGTCGAGCCCGTGAGCTGCGACGATCGTGAATTATGGCTCATTGTTTGACTCAAGCCGGATCCGTTGCCCTCGGCGCTCCTATTGTTGAATACAGGCGCTGTATTCGTTCTCAAAAGAGGTCCATGAGATTGAGACTGAGCCACACGAATGGCAACACCGCCAGATGACATGAAAGTTGAATGGTCCAAATGATTGACGATGAATTAAATTGTGATAAGTTGTTTTAAAAATATCCCGCTTTTCCGCTTTAAGGGGAAGAATAAAATGTATATTGGACAATGTAAGTTGTAACCGGGTTGAACTGCAGGTGGCAGGTGGATGGGGGGAGGTGGTCTGCTCGAGTCGAGTGCTACGGTGTGTGGTCCTGGTGGTCTTCTTTCGCAATACGTTTTCGTTGGAGGGTTGTTTCGGTGGGGAAGTGGATAAATTTGGGATTGTGGATGGACGGATTTCAAGTTTGTTGATTTGAATACATTTGATTGCGGGTCAACAATGTATACAAGAGAGCTTAGTAACTGCTTTGTACCGTTCTGCTTGATTTGTGTCTGTGAAAATGTGAATGGTGTATCGTGAGTCGTGGAATCGTGAATCATGTATCATGTATCATGTACCATGTATTCTTTTCCTCCTTTTTTTGCATATATTTTCTTTTCGATCTTGGGGGGGTTGCTGGGTGGTAGTAAAGGTTTTGAAGGAGTCTGGGTCTAATGAAGGACGTATGTATGTATGAAAGTCGTGTGGAAGTGGATTCGGATTGGGTTGTATGGGTGTGTAAGAGAGGGAAGAGAAGGGGGGAGGGTCGTGTTTGATTTGAATCTTGTCTCAGGAGTGTTGCTTCGCCATGGATTAAGTTATGCGCTAAGGTGCTTAAACCATAATAATAAATAAGAGAGTTTTTGGCAAGAGATGGATAAGGAAATGGAAGGGCTCGAGAAGGGTTAATGGAAGGAAGATTTCAAGATCTAGAAAACGGCTTGGAACTTAGAGGAAATGGGATTGTTTAAGTTGCAGGCGATTGTCGATAGTGGTAATGTTCATTTCCCAGTCCTTCATTCCCTCGTAGGGACCAGCGGCAAGTAGGTGTTTGTTGGATTTGATTGTTGGTCACGAACCGCCAACATCAATCAGATAACGGCGAGAATGGCATTGATGTTATTGATGTTGAAAGGAAACATGCACATTATATTACCTACCGACCTGGTATCTGGTATCTGGTATCTGGTATCTAGTATATATATAGTATACAGGTATCTTCTGAAACTGGATATCATTTCATCTTCCTCCTCACACGCCTCAAGACCTATTGTGCTGTTTGTTTACTTCCAAACAGAGAGAACTCATCCTTTCCGATGTATATACACATTACCATGAAGATCTTGCAATTCATAAATCTAATATCCAAAATACCGATCAATTGCCTATTACATATTACATACAATCATATGGTTCCCCTCTCCTATCACATCATCTTAATTGAGCCTCCTTCCTTCCCTGCCTTCTGCCTTGTCGAATCTAAATTTAAATTTGTACTGTCGGTCATTCAATAGAATCTCAAACATACATACCTAGGCAATGCTTTAACTCGAAAGGAAAGTTTTCACAGCTTACCTGGCATTGCATTTGATCATCAGATAAAGTTTCATAGCTACCTAGGTAAAGTGAATAGAACATATGACGATTCCTTCTCCTCCATGTGAAAACATTGATATCCGTACCGGTACTCCATTGGGTATCGGTTGAACGATTTCGGCGATATCTTCTTTCCTAGATGTACGTAACCCAGACCGGTGCGATGGGAAAGAGGCGATTTGCAACACATACCTAGCACTCCGTACAGCAATTTCTAGCGACGCCGTTACCGTTGCTAGGAATGAATGCCTCAACTCTATTTCGGCCGAGTGCTCAAAGGCGATGCAAAATTCAAATATTTGCTTTCGTTGTACAACGCTTCCAAGGCAGACTAGAGGAATCCCTAGTAAGGTTAATGTTGGTAAATTGTAATATCTTACGTGCATACTCCGTGTAGTCGATCAACTAATAAACTGAGTCCTGGAAATCGCCAAAATCTTCCTGTTATTATCCTTTAACCTTTCAATAGTGTATGTACTCTCCCGAAAAGGCTTCTCTCGATCATTTTTCTCTCCGGTTTTCCTTTGCCCTTTGCCCTTTGCCCTTTGCCCTTTGCCATCTTCCATCTTCCATCTTCCATCTTCCCTCGATATGTATCTCACCTCTCTCTCTTTACTTCGTATCACTTGATGACCAAAGGGGTAAACCCGGAATCCGAGTATGTCTACCGGTGAGTATCATCTGGCTAGCTAGGTACATAGGTAGGTAGACTCCGAACTCTAAGTATACCATCTCCGGGGTAAGATCGATCCTTCATTCCTTCTCTTTTCTTGCCTCACAGCTTCCCCATCAGTAAAGGTCACTCATCATCATTCGTCCCTCCATCTGGTCATCTATTTGACCGAAACTGACTCCGACACACATCATTCATACACTTGGTCCTAGTCCAGACTATCGAGTCCAGACTATCTAGTAAGCATATACAAAACTTAAAGTATGACCAAGTATCCCGATTCCGTCGAGACTCTTGCCTTCAGATCTCTTTTCGAATACTCAATAGAGATCTACCACACCTAGTACATATAAATAAGAGACTGACTGGGAAATTGATCAACGACGACTACTTGGTGAGTATCATACAGCCATGTACCCAGGTATATAAAGCTGTAGGTAGGTATGTTTTTTGAAGCTTTTATTTCGAATCATTACCAAAATGCTTGTGACGAAATTCATCCTCATATTATGAATTATACAAATCGTGTAAATCTTATAAATCTTATAAATCTTGCCCAGAAATCAAATACTCCGCACTCCAGCTGCTATTTTGGTATCGTTCGAGTATCAATCTAAGCTTGTAAAATAGTCGGTCCCTGAGCAGGTAGTGAGGATTTCCTTTTACGGAAAGAAAGAAAAGCAAACATGGCAAAGCCCTTCCTTGATTGAGTCTTGACTCCGCGTAGTGTTGAACTTCTCCAGCCTTGTTGCTTTAGCGTATTTTATTACACATCTACCAGGTACTGTTCTTATGCTATCTCAGTCTGTGTGTGATCCGTGCCGGAACCCAATGTGCATACAGCGTACAATCAACATCTCGACTGTAAACAAAAAAAAACATAGGTAATGACTACGACATCTTTTGATTTGAAAATAAAGTCATATATGACATGATTTGATCAGAGGCTCACACTCACACTCTGTCGAGTTCACTCTTAATATATGTTCAAAAGTTTTGAAGTCCAATATACCAAAGCATCATTACAACGTCTGAGGTTCCCAGATTCCCCGGTTCCTAGGTTCCAAGTCACTCCATCATGTCCAACTCTCTTCGGAGGTCTCCTCTTGATGAAGGGTATAGCGAACATCCCTTGACCGTTGTCAATCAACCAAAATTCGAGGAGTTGCCTTCATGGCTTGCAGAGATGTCTACTGAAGATCGCGCAGGTAAGGAACAATCGCATCATCATTCTGATCAACTTATTTCTACTTTCTCATGGGATTCTCGATACTTTTTGTCCCCCACAACTAACCCTTTCCAGAATGCATTTTAGATATCATGAGCAAATTGCCAACATCAGAAGTGTGGGATATAGTTGGACGACTTAAACCACGGCTCAAGATGGATTTCTCCCTCCACTTACCCTCAGAGATATGTTTGAGGATTCTCGGCTTCCTTGATCCAGTGTCACTAATTCGAACCGCCCGCGCCTCGCGACATTGGCAAATGTTATGCTTCGATCGAAAATTATGGGAGCAATTGTATATACGAGATGGGTTTAGAGTTATTCACTCGGAAGTCATCAAGTTCGAGTTCCCCAGCGGACAATCACGACGGTGGAGTCCAAGGAATAGCTTCGAGCTTAATCCTTCGGTTGAGCGCAGAACGAGAGGCAACATACAGCAGATATTACCAAACCCGGATGGCGATGATGATAATCGAGAATCGAATATGGTGAAACAGACGTCAATATTTGGTCCGGCAAGCACAAGGGACATGAGACAAAGTCCCCTTGCTGAAGACTCAATCATGATGGATGCACCAATACTATCTGCGGATAGTGATAAGGACCGGACATCATTTTCTAGCATAGATGGGGGTGTCGCCCAATGGAAAGGAAAGGGAGTTTCCCCTCCTAGACAAGGACATGTATTGGCGATTGTGGATCGAAGTAGTGGAGAAGAGAAACTCAATTGGCATTATCTCTATACACAGAGAAGACGCCTAGAAGCGAACTGGGAAGCTGGCAAATTTACCAACTTTCAACTACCACACCCTCATTATCCGGAGGAAGGTCACACAGAATGTATCTACACCATTCAGCACACTCAAAATTATCTAGTCAGTGGTAGTCGTGATAAAACTATACGGATCTGGAACTTAGACACAAGACGTCTTGCTCTTCCCCCGTTGGCAGAACATGAGGGATCTGTACTCTGTCTTCAGTTCGATCCAGATCCTGAAGAGGATATAATTGTTTCTGGTAGCAGTGATGCTACTGTCATTATTTGGCGATTTTCGACGGGTAAGGTAATACAGCGATTAAAATCAGCACATAGAGAATCGGTCTTGAATGTCAAATTTGACAAAAATGTTCTGGTCACCTGTTCGAAAGACAAGACCATCAAAGTGTTTAATCGACGATCTATCAGCGAGCAAAGTCTCATGAATGATACAGCTTCGATTCAAATACAAAACCTTGGTTTCGAAAACAACCCTGTAGGATGGAGAATTATACCACCATATACAAATATTAGCAAGCTAAAGGGTCATGGAGCGGCCGTCAATGCCGTTCAAGTATTGGGCGATGAAGTTGTGTCTGCTTCAGGTGATCGAACTGTAAAAATCTGGAACTGGAGAAAGAACACTTGCACTCGAACTCTGATTGGGCACAGCAAGGGAATTGCATGTGTTCAATACGATGGGCGTCGGATAGTGAGTGGGAGCAGTGATAATGAGGTCAAAGTCTTCGACAGAGAATCCGGTCTCGAAGTAGCCAGCCTCAGAGGTCATACCAACCTAGTGAGAACTGTTCAAGCCGGATTTGGCGATTTGCCATACAGTGCAGAAGAAGAAAGAGAGGATGCAAAGAGAATTGACAGGGAA